TATGTCAAAACATCTTTCTGCATCTATGCACGCTGCGTTGAGGGGGCGTTTGGATCATACATGTGTTCAAACCGTGTTGTGCAGTGAAGTTCATAGCTGGTGAGCCACTGACTTAATGAAATCATATTTACAAATATATAGCTCCCGAAGAAGGGTGAAAATAGCAATATAAATTAGTTTAGAATTATGTATTATTTTTCCATGACTGCACTCATTAGGTTCTCCTACCTGGGCTTCCCTGACCCAGGTGACCCTGTGTTTGATGGCAACCACCTTTACAAATCTTTTGAGAATTGCATTTAAGATCAATAACTCCAATGTCTTTCAGAGTGGAACACAAATGATTTTAATAAAGCAGTTGAATCATGGATGGATATTAAGTATCCAAATTGGATTTTATTCTCTTTTTTTTTCTTTAATTCACAGAGTGTCATATTATACACACATCTGCCTCTAATATTTGGACAGATGTGTCCAACCCTTTGCAGGCATCAACAAGGTCTTGGCATAACACACGCTGAGTACATATAAATCAGTTTATATGTTTCCAACTTGTAGCCAAATAAACCCTCAGCAGGATCCACTGCCATGTTTGAAAGCTGTTACCGTGTCTTGACCTCTTCAGTCATTGTTTTTTTTTTCTCTTTCTGCAGGTTTAGAGGCAGACTTCATCAGTGTTGACTGTTTCCTTTATATTACTTTCCCACCTTTTCTCTGCTCAGGTCAAGATGAGCTCAAGATTAAAAATGCATTAGGATTTTTTCAGTGAAATCGGTGGAAGCCTTTGTTCTTAGCAACATGTTTCCTCACCATAACGCGTACTGGCTGTTGTGACAGTGGGAGGTGCGTAGTGAACCAGCTTCATGATAATCTGCCTCTCTTTTTTACGCCTTTCTACTGAAAACCTGACGTATGATGTTTCCAAGCTGGAAAAATAGATTCCCCTCTTAAAATGTTGGAGATAAAATGCACCAAGATTGCAATAATTAGACTAAATATGCTACAAAACAACCGTAATCTTTTATTTGAAGTTCGAACACCATATGCATGTAAAAGGGAAAGTAAATTGCAGAAATCACTTTGACTTGAACCAGACTGAAGGCATTGAACCACCCAGAGCTGCATAGCTGCCCTCTATACAAGAAAAAAAAACAACAGAATATTGATATTAGAGGGCAGCTCTGTTGATCCTGGAGTGACGTTCTTATTTTCATGAACTGATTTACTTCTGTAGCTTCTGTTATTGTTAAAAACATGCATTTCGTCAGTGGAAGAAAGGGAAGCAAAGAGGACAGTCTGTAGTGTTAATGGAAACAGGAAATATTTTGAGTGCATTGAAAAAAGAGGAGGTTTTATGGCTGCAAATCAAACTGAACCTCAATCCTCTCCTGGCTAAAATGAGCAATGCAAGCATCAGCACTTTTCTTTCCAACCACTTTTTCCAACAAATCATAAGTTTAATAGAGAGATTTTCTGTGAACATAAAGGAATATATGATATTAATCATATTTTATAATTCAGAGTAAATTTAAGAAATGCACGGCCTAAGTGTAGAAGATGATTCAGACCAAGTCTCTTGGCACCGGTGCCTCCCTCCTCTGGTGTGAGAAAACCAAACATCCAGCCTCCTCGTTCTGCTCTACCGTCATCTGTAACTCACACCTCATCACAAACTGAAGTGGAATCAGATTAAAAGGAGCAGCTTCTGCACAAGAACTGTTATTGACATGGTGTCAGCGCAAACTCGCCTGTGGGACGCAATCATTGTGAAGTTCAGAAAAGAAACATTTTCTAATATCCTTCACATGGCATGCTTCTGGCCTTATGATCTAAGCCTTTAAAATATACAGTTCTATTTTCTAGACTCAACTGAATCTAAACTGAGGTGGAATAATTACAACTGTGATGGTTTTTAGAACAAACTTTGACTTTATTGTGGATTTTCTTTAATCCACACATGTATCACTAATACTTGGTAAAATGTTTTTTAGAAGAACCTCAAATAGCTTTGGTAGTTCTGCTGGAATAGACTACATGTAGATTTTATTTTTGTTATTTTTCCATAATTGGCTTTCTTTTATTATTGTAAATAAACACAATCATTCTTAAGTTTGGGATGTACAACAATTTACATACTCCCTCCATGCAAAACAATTGAAAGTTTTGTTATAATTAACTACAATATTGCATGCTTAGTTTATTGTATGTAAAAAAAGAAAAGAAATTGATAACTCCTACAATTTAGTGTTTTGAATTGGAAAAGTATTGCAATTTTCAGGCCCATTTTTTTAGTTCTTAGCAAGTTGACGATTTTGGCTCATTTGACAAAAAGTTTGCACATCCCAGAAATAAATTATTAAAAAGCCTTAAAAATATATACAACTTTTGAAATAATTCATTTCCATCTGTCTCACAACGATGAGCTACTTCGACTTGGTTCATTACATTAAATCCAACCTAAATATTGATTTATGTTTTCACTTAAATATGATTTACATAATTAATTGAAAAAAAAAATCATCCACAAAAACAGCAAGAAAAAAACCCCACATTTATTAATGATCACAATATTGACATCAGCACATTTCAGTTTTTTTTGTTTTGTTTTTGTTCCGTTCCCTTGAGTGCAATCAACAAAATTAAATAAAACATAAGCTTTGCATGTACAAGCAAACCATTTTTAGCATCATTAATGCTCTACACTTAAACATAAAAATATTCCAGAGAAGTTAAAAATGTGCAAACAGGTTTTAGTACAAATAATAAAAAATCCAGTCCCACATAGCAAAAAAAAGACTCAAGATGACACAGTCTGTATAAACTTTCATGCTTAGTTCCCCTTTTTTTTTTTAAACACAAAAATAAATAGATGACAAACGATGTGTGGCCATGTTACTGATAGGTGGGAAATATTTACAGTTCATCACAACATGAGTGAAATAAATCTGAGCTGCTCTGCTTCACATTAGTTTCTGTTAAAGTGCAGTATTAGTAATTTTTTTTAGTTGATCCCTTTTTGTTAATTCATAGATGTTAAAGTAGATGAACTGCGAAAACCAAATCCTACAAAGCATTTTTTTGTGACGTTTCTAGTGTAAAAACCTTGACACTTGAAATAAGACAAAACTAACTTAGAAGTAGATTTTCAGTCAGATATACGATCCTGTCAAGTCAATAATTCCTTAATATTGATGAAATAATTGCTAGTTCCACTGGAAGATTATTTCACCTATAACACTATGTTCTAAGTGAAATCTTCCAGTGGAACTAGTATTTTTTTCATCAATATTAAGGGATTGTTCACTTAAAACATGCTCATATATCTTGCTGAAGGTTACTTGCCTGTTAGCATTGTTTATTTCAAGTGTTCTAAAATATTTGCACTAGAAACCAGAGAAAAAAAAAAAGATTGGTGAGATTTTGTGTTTTTGCAGCGTGGGACCCCCAAGGACAGCGACTCCGTCACTGGAGTATATTTTCAGCTATGGCTTTGAGTCATCATGCAGGGTTGAGTGCGTGGCCGCAGTCGGCCCGCCACATGAGAGGTTGTGTGTAGCTCTCCGCCAGGCTGCACGTCGGCGGAGAGGCTCACCGGCTTTCAGTCCACTCTCCAAAAAACACCAACAAGTCACGGTCCAAAGAAAGACGGTGGGACAGATTTAACATCAGACACCAGAGGTCGTGCTAAAAAAGGAGGCAATGCCACCTCCGTCGTGCTGAGCTGTAGCTTTGGGGGTGACGCATCAGCGAATACACAAGTTTAATCGTGTCTCAGTTTACCAAAGCCCATGTTGTAAAACCGTTTCACTTTTAGACTTTTAAACCTTGAATTACGAGTTGCTGTTTGAGGAGAACGTGAATCAACTCCTAAGAGAAATCTACGTCAATCTCACTTTTCTAAATAAGTAGGTGTGTTACTTAGGCAGGAATTCAGTCAGATGCCAACTTTTCTTGCTCCTTTCCTGGTCACATTATAAACAGAATGGGTTCTGTTTAGCTTTCATTTGTCTCGTGGCGTGTGGATGTTTCTATTTTTGTCCCGAGGGCATTTTAAATGCAAAGTTGATCACTGATAATAACTATGAAATATGTTTCATAAAACAGGTTGAATCAGGTCAATTTCATCTTACCACAGGAGCTTACCACACAGAGAACCCCATCAATCAGCCATGCATCGAACACACAGAGGAATTAACACTGCTTTATCCCTCTCAGTAAACTATCTGTCCCATCAGTGAGCTTTTCAGAACTTAAAAAGAAATAAATGTGTCTTTGGATCCCTGGTAGAAGTGAAGATGTGGGATTCCTTTTTTCAGGAAACGTGGCCGGCGAGTTAGTTCTATTTCTTCATTTTTTAGGTGGTCAACTTGGAGTAACTGGGTGGAGAGAAGCGTCTGCGCAGGTACTTGAGGATGTAGAGAGGCAGGCAGCTGACCAGCGTGATGGCGGTCACCTTCCACAGGAACGACACCGTGGTGATGAAGTACACGTCTGTTACAGAGGAAGAGTCAAAGTTAGACTGACGAAGAGCACAAGCCAGCAAGTCTGAGTGATAAAGATTTCATCAATCCTCATGAAACAACGTTTACATTAGACCGCTCAGTTTTTCTTTATGTTAAAATATAAAAGTAAGTTTTCTATTACAAGCCTGGAGGGCCACCAGGCTTTTTTTGGCCCCCATCCGGCTAAGACTGTTTGCTTATCAGGTAGGCTGAGGACGTTTCTTAAAAGTGACAGCAAACAGGCATAAGAGTCTCTTTGGTAACACAGTTGGAAGCACAATGGAAACCATGATATGGTCAGTATGTGAATACATAGGGAGACTGGGGTTTTATTCACCAGAAGTCAGTAACCACTGCCTCTACTCATTGTTCTACACGCCAACAATTTCAGCAAATAAAGTGACAAGTTATGAATAAAAGATGAAAATAGTTTGGACACTTTAATTACGATGAAACAACTGTAATATAGAAAAAAGGCAACTCTAAACAAATATGTTTTTAGCTATGATTTAAAGGACTTGGGGTCTCAGCAATTTAGCATTTTCTCTATTATTACATTTTAGCTAAAAGTTTTTCCTTGCTCTGTCCTCATTTTCTGTATAAACTGCAGCAAAGAAAGACCACTAGTGCTCTAAAAAAATCTGGCAAAAATTAGAAACCACTTCAAATAATAAGTTTTTCTGATTTTACTTTTTATAGGTATATGCTTGAGTAAAATGAACATTGTGCTTTTATTCTATGAACTGCTGACATGTTTCTGAAATTCCAAGCATAGAATTTTCACTTATATGCAGGAAATGAGAAATGGTCAAAATAATGAAAAAGACACAGTGCTTTCTCAAATAATGCAAGAAAACAAGTTCATTTTCATTTAGAAACAACAATCCTCTTCCTGAGTTCAAACTCAGGAAGCTTTCAGAAATCAATATTTGGTGGAATAATTATGAGGTTTTCAATGGGTTTCAGTAACATTTTCTGTAGAAAAAAGTCCCTTAAATGCATGACATATGTTTTGAACTGTGAATAATTGTTAAGAGCAATTAATAAAAAGGTAAAAATGGGTTGACAGAATAATAATGCCCAGCGTGTATTGTACAGTAATTTAGAGTTACCACAAGGCAAGGTTCACAAATCCTTTTACACAAGCTGATCACATTAAAAGGCCTAAAGGCAAACTAACACAATGACATCTGGTAACGTGTTTAGGTTACAAGTAAGTAAGAATAGTTCGTTCGCACTAAACTCTGTGTAACTTGTGCATTTTGTCTCAATGTCATTAATTAGGGCAATGAGGGTTTCAAAACATAATTATTTCAATAAGACATGCACAACATTTACTGCTGAGCATGATCATAATTAACTAACAATAACTTCTTGTCTTTATTATTTTTCCTTGGAATCTCCCAGAGTGGAAACGACATTGACCCAGACAGCGTAATATGCAGGGAAGGGAAAGAAATTTTTGAAAAAAGCTCAGTTAAAATGTATAAACTGCACATGCAACAAAACAGCATCTAAAGTTTATTTCAGTCTCACTTGAAGAGGGAAGAAAACAGGGAAGAAAAAAAAGCCCAAAAAGGGTAAACTTGACCACATGCCAGTCATGCTCCTCAGTGGTCGAGATTGCAGGCTGAAAATGGAACTCCACGCCTCACATAAAGCTGAAAATAAAGACCTGAAGAGCTTTTGGTCAGGCCATTCACTATTACAGGACGCTTAATATGGGAAAAAAGAAAAACTGGATTATTTTGTGGTGGCCAGTGTAAATAGATCTTTAACAGTTTGGCAACAAACAACAAAATAGAGGGAGATTATTCCCAAAAATACATATAAGTAAATGGTAATTTTGCTTCTGCTAATATTTTTCTTGTAAATGGATTATGAATGCATTTATATAGCATTTTTTCAAAACAAAGCTCAAAGGAAACCAACCAAACTGGTGGCATTTCCTCTTTGATGCTGCAGAATGCCTGAGACACACCAGGTCATATTGTCAATACATTCACCTCTAGACCTGCTAATTCCACAGTTTACTGCACACAGGAGACACGTTAAAAACCAAGCCCTCCCCCCTCATACCACTGCAGGCTGACGTCCTATTTCAAGGCCGGCCAAACAGAAAAACACAATTCAGTCTGCACTGAAATCATATTAGGGTTTTGTTTTGTTTTCTGGAACACAACGATCCATCTTTAAAGTAGCAGAAATCAGGAGTGATGAGGACATTACTCACCTATGAATTCGTGCAGGAACACGAGTGAAGCAATATAGCACGCCAAACTCAGGAGCTCGCCGACTATCATGAGCCAGTGCCACGTCTGAACGGTCAGGGCCACCATCAGCAGCTCGGTCAGAATCAGGGAGGTGAAGGAAATGGCGACAATGTGGACAAACTCGGACTCGAAGAGCAGCATGGCTCCGTACATGATGATGCTCCCTGAGGATGAGAGCAGTACAGTACAAATAAAACGAAATTCAAATTTAGATAAAGTTTCTTAATTACATATGAGGTAGAAGTTAGCAGAAGGTCTGACATTTTTACACAATATGCATTATGCAATCAGATTTTATAAAAATAATGTCTGCATTAGCAAATTGGTAAAAGCACTAATATGACATTTTAAAATACGCAAAACATGCTCAACAGGAAAAGAATGGGGAAAACAGAAAATGCATTTATAATGTATTCTTCGCTGGTAACCAACAAGCTACTTTAAAATGATCCAAATCAAAACACAAATAGTGCTGAAAAAATGTTTTCTGTTATTCACTTTGTTGTATTCAAGGAATTATAATATTTAATTCAAAATGCATACTTCCAGTTCACTGAAAAAAAAGAAAAAGACAATTTCTTCCCTCATTTTCAAATATATGCTTGAAGGTATTCTGTACGTTGGAAAAACACAGAAGACAAAGTGAAAGCAACATACACAGCAATGATTTGCAAACAAGCTTAAGCCCACTGGTAAAAAGGGAAACTCCTGTTTTGTTAGAAACAGATAAAAAGTTTCAGGGTGTAGTTCATTATGCGATGGTAAACAGCTTTTCATGGCAAACGGTGCGTGTTGGAAACTTCCCTCTGCTTTCAAAATGCGTGGGCTGTTAAAGAGTGATGTGTGATTAAGGTACAGCAATGCAGCCGTTTGGTAGGAACATCCTCAACCTACCTGAACTTCAACATTTTCTACTGTGATGTTTTTAAAACACCAAAACCAACTGCATAAATACACAGGCACATACTCCAAAGAAACTTCCACATTTATATCATAAATTGAAATTATTCTCATCAATATTCTGTGAGAGTAACAAAACTACAGAAAAAGGGATATAATATATATGGCTTTCATTTCATAAAATTAAAAACCTGAAAACTGCTGCATGATAACATGTTCAATCCCTATTTATTCTGATAGCCCTAAATAAATTCACAGCAAACAACTGTATTGACAAGTCACCTTATGGAGTCAAAGTGTGTACTTTCCCTCTTCAAAGAGCCATTTTTACCCTTAGTCCAGCTAAACAGAACTTGTTTAGAGTCACAAATGTTACATATATATATATATATATATATATATATATATATATATATATATATATATCTATATATATATATATATATATATATAAATATAAAAACTTTCTATGATTTTGATTGTAGTGGAAAATGTACAGAAAAAAATCTCAGTTTTCAAGAAAATCACAAAACATTATTGATACTTTTAATGTTAATCTTTTATGGAAATTCAATTTAATGAATAAAAAAAACAGCAAAAAACTGTACACAATGACTTCCAAGCAATTTGGTTAAAAATTAACTAGATGTTTTGAACAATGAGCCACTGCTTGCAAACCAGTAAGAACATTAATATTAACTAAAATATCATTATTTTATTTGTCTGTTGTCCCAAGTTTCCATCATGTTAAATTTTTTGTATTGTCTCATTGCCGAAATATGCACCAAAAATAAATGTCTCTTGCTCAGTGAGGAAGAAACCCCATGAACGGAGAAAGCTGTAGAAAAGTTTAAAGCGCGTTAAATTCTAAAACAAAACTCAACGCTTTGAACATCTCACGCAGCTCTGGTTGAGCCGTCCTGGAGAGTAGGGCAGAACCGCAAACTAGGGAGGAGCATTTATTGCTTTGTTTATTGTCACTGAGAAAATAAAATGATCGTAATAAAACCCCCAAAACTGACAGTTTGATTCAGATCATTACCTTTGTTGTTCAACTATTGTTTTTTTTTACTGTTGGTTCCATTAAGGAATGGATAAATATCATTTAATTTTGAAAACATGTCTGTTTATTGTGTATTAATTTGCTATAATTATACTCACTGATGTACTTAAGTTTATTCATGGATAAATGTCATTGCTGGACCAATATTGGTGTCTGTGTTGGCAGAAATAAGACTGCAAGGATATTTTAATCACTTTGTCACTTTTATTGTGGAAAAAGTCTAATTTCATATATTGGAGATCTCTACAGGAAACTCAGGAGTAGAATGTACCTAGTTACATTTACCCATGTCATTGTAGTTAAGTACAACTTGTCTGTACTTTGCCTTTTCTTGAAGCTCATAAACCTAAATTTTAACTTCAGTTTGATTTGAGTAAAGTATTTCACTCAGTTACATCTGAAATTATATCAGTTAATGAATAAAAATACCCCAAAAATATCATTACTCATTTGGATTGATTGATTGATCAAGAAAAAAAAGGTGATTAAGTAAATGTTACTTAAATTAAGTATTTCTTACTTTTATTTGAATAACTTTCCTTGTATTTAAGTAAAATGTTTGTCAAAGTAACTGTAGTTTTACTTTAATACATTATTTCTGTACTCTTTCCATGTTTGAGCAAACCTACCACGACAAAACCAGCCTCCCCTAAACCACAGGTCAAACGCAAAGCACATATTCATGTGTTAGAATGGTCCAGTCAAAGTACATACTAGATCTTGCAGTTGTAATTAGAGATGCATGAATCCGATATCAATATCAGTACCATATCGTATCAGTCCATCCTAAACTTCAGATATTTTTATTGTATCGGAAATGAAAAAAAGTGGATCAGTGCATTGCTAGTTGTAGTGACAAAATGTAAGAAACTTCAGTGAGGATTTTCATAGAAAATCAAGTCATCAAACTATTAAATCTTACCTTGATATATACTTATAAGGACCCAAATTAGAAAAGTCTTGAAAGACAGCGGTCGACCCTGTAAAGTAAAAAAAAGAAGAAAAAAAAAGAACATATTTCTCATTTGTTTCTGTGTCACCAACATTACGAAGTTGCATAGCAACACTTGAAGAGTGTTATTCATCATTACCTTCAATAGATCTTTATACAACTCTGGGTAAAGCATGGCAACCTCCGACTTAACATCCTTATCCAACACCAGGGAAAAGACGGGGAACATGGTGTAAATGGTGGAGTAACTGCAACAGAAGATTTACGAAACATGTATCATAATTTCACTTTTTCCTCTTCTCCGATTTCCTTTTGGGTTTAAAAAAAGAGGAAATTCCAGGGAACAAAGTCAGCTAAATATTCTGTTAATAAGTCATCAGTACTCCGAGAGCTTGTGTCTCACCCAATAATCAGAAATCCCTGGTAGAGTGGAACTGAAGCAAAGTAGAAAACAGAGGAGAAAACAGCCTGCAGAAACAGAAAAAGCAGAAAACAAATGCTCAGTTGTATTCCTTTTTATATTTCACTTACTGTTAAATGGCAGTGAGTTGGGAACAGGAATGTGAGAAAATTTCCAGAGTTGTTTTGAACATACAAATGAAAAGAAATGTGTTTCATAACATTTAGACAGCTTTGTAAAAACTAAATCAAATGGGAGCAGTGAGCATTCAGAAGCAGGTGTACGCATTTTATACCTCACCCCACCACAGCTGCAGGGAACTAATAAACACTAACCGATTCAAGCCTCTCCGTTAAACTTGGGAGATGAATGATTCCAGTACCGAGCTGCCAACCAAACATTCAGCTTCCATCTGTGGTCGTTTTTAATCTGAGGGAGGTGGAGAAAAGCCTCCTAAAAGCCATAAAGTCCATGGTCCAGTGAGTCATGGATGTCCCTCCAGATTGGGGGCTGAGTTTGGACTGGGACATGGGAATGCTGTCTCAGAAGGGCACCACTGCCGGCGTCCTCTGAGTCATCATCCACCCCACCTTCCCATGACAAGCCCAGAGACATTTCCCTGTCCGTCTGTAGGTATGCAGTTTTATTTTCGGACAGACAAGATTTCTATTTACACGCCTTGCAAAGGCCGACGCTCCATGTGAACAACCACAAACTTTATGGTTTTCTATTGAGATTATATGTGTCAGGGCAAAGCAGGCAATTTTGAATGAGAATAAAAATCATACTTTGTTTTTTATATTTACAATCAGAAATCTAAAAAGTCTTGAATGTATTTGTATTCTTTTGCCTCCTCCAAATCAGGTTTACTTCCAGCATTGGAAAAATGGCCACTGACTCAAGTAGGCCACCAGCTCAGTGCGGGTGATACAGACTTAAAGTTTTATCACAATATTTTGTGAAACTATTGTGATAATAATAAAAAAAACTATTTATTTATTACTTTTTTAAAGGCATGTATGGCTGTTTCTGCATGACACAGCTATCATAACCCGTTTAGGACACCAGTCACATAAAAAAGTGTTATTTGAATCACTGAAATGCACACATTTAATCATATTTTCAAATTTATTGATATTTATTGATACACCTTCATTGAGCAGTGGAGAAAATAGTAAAACTAAATGTCCCAAAAATACAATTTTAGGGTTTTTTTATACATTAATTGCAATTTATCATGACGACAATAAACCAAAATTGTATTGTGAAAAGAAAATGATATATCAGTCTTTAAAAACTGTTCCTCCACAAATTATTTTTCTACAAGGCAGGCTACTGGCACTTTTTAGGAATTCTCATCTGTTAAACATCTTCCTTTGCAATCACTTATGTTTACTATTTTGTAAATAGTTGTGTCTGTATGTCTACCGTGTATATTTATATGATGTGATGTTGGATATCTTTGTGTTTTTTTCTTGTTCTGCAAATCGAGGTCCGTTTTCTTTTCATCTTTTCCCATTTAAAAATTTAAATAAATAAATTGCAGCATAGTAAGCCCTATCCATCTTCCCAAGAATTTAACCGGCTGTCCTACACCTTCTGAGAAAAGCAGTCCCCTCTCTGCCAATAATAAATTTGACCATGTGGACAAAAAAGTCCAGTATGAAACACAAAAGCCCACAGCAAAAGCACAAAATCTTACCAAATACTTTTGGTCCATTTTCTAGTGCAAATATCACATGAAGTAAGACTAAGCTAACTTTTAAGTAACTTCTCAGCAAGTTATAGGAGCTTGTTTTAAGTCAGTTTCTTAATATTGGTTACTTCCACTGATGTCTTGTGTATGTGAAATAATCTGCCACTAGAAGTTTTGTTTTAACCTATACTAAGGAATTGTTAACTTGAAACAAGCTCCTATATTTTGCTGAAAAGTTAGTTCTGTGATATTTCAAGTGTATTAAGATATTTGCACTAGAAACTAAACCAAAAAACACTCTGTAAGACTTTGTGTTTTTGCAGTGTATTGTTTTACATGTAGGATAAACAGTTCGGTTTGGTCCCTTTGGCTGGAGCAGCTTCCTTCACATATTACTGTACCCACTACATGATCTGTAAAACTGTAAAAGGGACCCATTACGACTTTATGGAGTGGTAAGTGGCTGTAGTTAAAATAAAGACCAGAAGAAACCTGTACTATATTATTTCCATTTCACAAATAAGCACTTCTGTTTGTTAATCACAATAAATCAAATCCCAAAAAATAAATTGCATTGAAATTAGTGATTCTAATGTGAAAAAATTCAAGGGATTGCATAATTTTTTCAAGTCATTGTTTTCAGAGGTTAAAATGTTTTCTAGAATCCTCAGAAAAAGAACAAAGATGTTTCAATGTTTTAGCGTTACCTGCATGGTGCTGATGCACAAGCTTCTGTGGATGACAAACTGGCTGAGGGCAGCGGATCGCTTGTAGCTGTTCCGACCGTGGACCATGAGGAGTCGACCCAAATGTTTGAACTGAGTTACAGAGAAGTCGGCGGCCAGAGACGCTTGCTTTCCTTCCTGCAGAAAAAAGGACAGAGGCCTGTGAGAATACAAAGAGTTAAACCCAGAGTTTAGATCGGGCCTAAAAAAATCCAGCCCGATGGTCACTGTGTCTGAGCCAATTCTGAACCGACCAATTAACTTTAATTACAGACCTGATATATTTTAATTACAATTTTACTGGTGTCGTTTTTAGACCATAATTTGAGTAAGCAGTGTAACTTCTCTCATTTTTAGCTTTTGTTTAATGTCTTCCCGCTCTACCTTGTTGTAACCGCAGGGTGAGTCAATTTCAAATCATCTGGGATGCAGTACACTATGCTTGTTACAGTAGGATTAACTTCTGTACCCTACTTACCTTCTTCTATTTATCTATTATAATCTTCCATTTAGACTATAACAAGTAAGCTGCAGAATGTAACTTTGAGAAGAAACATTTTTCTTTTTCATATTATACTATACAGATCATGACAGTATAGTATTTGACAGATGATCTGGTTGTTTCTAACTAGAAAAAAAGCAATCAGAGCCAGTAGGAGGGTGTTGGCACAATCAATCACCCCTTGTTTTGCGCTTTGCTCTCTGCTGCACTGCATCTTCTTCCTGATGGCAGAGACTCTCATGAATGCGAGGCTGGTTAGCATGGGCACCAATGCACAAGGTTGATTGACAGCATTAAGACCCCCCTCCTGGCTTTGATTGGCTGGAGCGGTGCATTTCTTCAGACAGCAATAACAGAACAGGGACAAGATGGAGTACTTGGATCTTTTCACAGGCTTTCCATTTCATAATACACTGTCACAACATGGACACAGTTTAAACAAATATGTAAAAATATTTTTTATAAAAGTTATACTATGTATCTTTAATCAAACTTTACATCATTGATTCTTGTTTGATTTTTCTGTGCTGTGCTGTGTGTGCTGCAGGCTTATTAAACACACCACAAAAGCCTAACTTCGACCCAATAAAGCAAATAATTCTGGTTTAGGCCATTAAACTAATTTGTAACACAGCCAGTCTGACTAAACGTCAATATAATCACAGCAGAAGTTAGGAAACACAATCATCAAGATTAAAACAAATAAAAAATGCCTTGACTAGCACAACATCTAATTGGTAATATCTGTAAATAGTAAAACTTGATGCTTTGTTAAAAGCAGCATGTGCTACTGCCATGTAGTAAGAATGTTGTTTGAATTTGCAATGATTATTTCTGAATAATCATTGCAATTAATTTTTTTAACACAAGTTCTGCTTAGAGTTTCCATACGTAGTAGATGCAGGGTCACAATCAACAAAAACTCTGGAAGAGGCTGTCAAGAGACTCCCCAAAACACTAAAACCTTCCTGTCATCTTCGCTTCCTCTGCTTGGACAATAGATCCTCATAAAGGGAATAATCTGTGTGTAAGTTCGGCCTCAACTCTCTGGATGTGCGAGATATCTTTACAGGAAGCGCGATATCTGTCGGTGCGTCATGTCGATGCGAGGCGACGAGATGGACAGAGTCTTACTTTTCCCTCCACTCCCACGCCACAGTCGGCTTCCTGGATCATGCTGACATCGTTTCCTCCGTCCCCTGGGAGAGAACAAAAGTCATGGAGGTGTGAGGATTCACATCACTCACCAGAACCAACCAAGATAATCTTAATTTAGCTAGATTACAAAAAGGCTTGGTCACAGAAATAAAATAAATGCAAAAAAAAACTCCACAAATGCAGCACTCTATTGTTAGAAGTGGTGGTGAGATGGTTACAACAGTTTGTGGTTGAGACATTTAAGGTCTTGAGGTTGACAGAGATAGACCGGATAGAATCGTTATTACTCACCCACTGCGCAGGTGAGTTTGCCTGTTCGCTCCTGCAGCAGCCGGACTATCTGCGCCTTCTGAGTAGGAGTGCATCGGCAGCAAACCACAGCGGGACACTGACACGCAAGCTCCATGAACTCATACTCATAATATTTCAGACAAACCTGCCAAAGGAAGAAAAGAAAAAAAAACAAAAAAAACGGACAGGTGAGCACCTCAAGCCACCACATTTAACTGATCTGAGCTGTGGCTCTCGGATGCTTTTACCCAAGTTACAGTTAAACTCCAGCTGCGGTTTAGAAAGTGTCTGTAACCACGAAGGCCACATCCAGAAAGGCTTCAGTGGATGTGATATTATCATGCATCACACTGAAAACATGTCACAGTTTCATAAAGGCAGATAAGACGGTGAGATGTGAATTAGACAGGCGAGAGCCAGCTTACTTCAAGCGAGTCCCCCGATATCACCAGAGCGCAGTCATGTTTTCTCCTGAAAGCGTTGAGCTCCAGGTGGGCTTCCCCTCTTGTCGTCACCTGTGGCAAGGCCAACCACATTTACCAAATTAAATGTATTAACGCATATGTATATGTCCTCACACACACAATGCACAGACAATGCGCATAAGAGGAAACCTAACAGAGATTGCAATCTGTGAGCCTTTGTCTGCTTGGTGCTTATCAGGCAGAAGAATGGCAGCACCTGTAGTGTATGGAAATGCCGGAGAAACTTAATAACTGACATAGAAATTCTGCAACAAGATCTGATAGATGCAATATAATATATCGAAAAGTATCTAAATGTTAGACATATCAGAATCCCTTTTCGTAAGCAGGAATGTCAGTTGAAACAAGCCATCATAACAGTTATACTTCTGCCAAGCCGTCCATGTCTACTTCAATCTTTCCAAGCATTTTTTCTTGAGATTCTAGTGCAAATATCTTAGTATACCTTAAATGTAACCTAGCTAACTTAAAAGTAACTTTTCAGGCGATACAGGGACTTGTTTTAAGTAAATAATTTCTTACTATTGGTGGAAAAGTACTGGCTGCACGTTTCACTAGCAGACAATTTATAGCAAGACAATTTTCCAAAATCTTACCATGCATTTTTGTACAATTTGCAAGTACCTTAGTACACTTCAAATGAGACAAAGCTAAGTTATAATGTGTAGGAGACTGTTTTAAGTCAATAATTTATTCATATTGAGAAGTACTAGTTCAATTGGCAGATTATAAAACAGAAAAAATATGAAGTCATTTGTAAGTGAAACTAGTACTTTTTAAAATCCATATTAAGGAATTATTTTCTTAAAACAAGTTTGTGTATCTTGCTGAAAATTTACTTATAAGTTAGTTTTGTCTTATTTCCAGAATACCAAGATATTTGCTTTAGAAACTGCACAAAAATGCATGTCACAGCATTGTTTGTGAAGTGTAAACTACATTATTAAGGCACATATGTATAAGTCATAGATACAATTTCATAATTTATAAGCTTAGAAACTATTCATATTCAGAAGTGGGATGGATGTATGTCGAGAACAGTGTTTTCCAACCCTGGTGCACACTGTCCTACATGTTTTAGAGGTTTCCCTGCTTTAAAATACCTGGGCCAGAAAACAAATGTTTGCCATTTAATGTGTGCAACATTTGATTTCTGCTTTTAAAAGCAAGTAAAAAATTGGGAAGAGAAAGTTTGCTGTATGATAAATCCCTAAAACAACTTTGGATATAAACTCCAAAAGTGCAGGAGAAACAAGGCATGGTGTTAATCTGTCAGCAGGAGCCCTGCATTGGCATGAACATCCTTCAACTGCTGACTGTTCATACGTCAATCCAGATTGGGCCATTGGTGGCCACCAGGAAGCCAATCCAGATGCATGTGTTGCAGGCCCAGTCAGCACTCCCCCATCCACTGGGACTGAGGTTTTCAACTTGTGCCAGCCATTGTTATTCTCTTCCAGTAACCACAGTTGTACGCAAACTGTAACCTTCCCACATAGCAGGCGCTCCTTCTGCTCTGGCACTGCTCCAGAGGGGAAGGCAGAGAAGGGTCTATCAAAGCTGCCCGAGAGCCTGAAACCTGCAAAACAAATTAGGAAGTGAACCCTCTGCATGTTCCCTCTGGGAGTGGTCCAGCTGGTTTCTCCTTTCTGCTTGAGGGAAGGCCTGTTTGTTCTCTGTGACAGTGGATTTTGGATGCTTTCACTGGTGGGAGGTGATTTATTCAGCTGTGGATGCTGGCTCTGGCTCCATACAGCGCTGCATGGGGCTCTTTGACCACTAACTAAACTGTGTTGGTCAGAGGGAGTGGACAATGATTGGATGACGAGCATCTAAAGAAGCTGTCAAAGCTGTCCTGACAGGAACCACATTGCAATGTTGCTGCGTATGCACTTAAGGCTGCGTCCTTGTCATGCACTTACTTGTCTGAAGATGTGGATGTCCTGGTTACGGGTGATCAAGTGGGCGTTCTTAGCGGTGCATGTGGCAGTTTCCAGCTTGTCTCCTGTCAGCATCCAAACCTGATTAGAAACCAGAAGAAACCACATCTGAGGAAACCTGATGCTTGAACAGATCACATAATAATCATAGTGATACGATTAGATAAATACAAACTACGGAATAGGATAAAAAAATATAGATTATATGGCTTAGATTCATTATAGCTACAGCAAAAAGTTAAGTGTATTTCAAAAAATCTGAGTTCCTCCAGTTTCTTGCCATTCCCCGATTGCAGAAGTTCATGCATAAATAAATAGATGCTGACATTTTTTTCATGCTAATGCATAATTGTGCGTTTATTGCAAATTTGCCACAAAATTTGTATAAAATCTTGGCTTTAAGTGTCTGTTAACCCCCATACTGCTGCCGCTGCCTTAAGTGATGTCAAATTTATAATCTGTGAATGATATTATCTAAAGGATAAAAATGTTTGAGTGTTCAATCAGTCTTTTTTATTTTTTTCCCTCATCTTTTTCATCTCTATGTAGATTTTGGAAGGGGTTTAAAGAAGCAAGAAGATTGCAAAATTCCTTGCAAATATTTCTAAAATAGCCCCACAAAATCAGTGATAAAAGAATAAAAGAACATTTTTTTAAAAATCACAAAAAGATTTCAAAATCTGAAAGGAAAATAAGCATTAACTATGCTTTACTGGCACGACAGAACTATTTAGTTGATGCAGTTCAAGTATGCTGAACTGCATAGTCCTCAATGTGTCCTGTAAATCACATTAGTTCTCGCAGCAAGCTGCATTCTTCATCGAAGCACGAACCGAGTGATCCGCCTGAGTTTTTGTGAGGAAAAGCTCAGTGTAATTTAGATGCTAGCGTAATATTTAAAATCAGAATTAAACCTGCCAAGTAACATTCAGTTTTTATACTCCTCTAATCTAATCTGGAACAAACTTCCATAAAACTGCAAAACTGCTGAAACCCTGTGTTTCTCAAGAAAAAAACTCCATTTGTTTAGAGCTGCTTTTGTTCCATTAATAATATTAGTTGAAAGGATTTTAATTTTAGTCGGTTGTACAACTTTGCGTTTCTTTATTACGACACTAATATTTTTATTATTTTCATCATGTAAAGCACTGTGAATTGGCTTCTTGTAGTGTTTCAAAAATACATTTGCTTTGAATTCATTGAAATAATTCAAACTAATGGTGAAAACAATATAACTCAATTCACTGAAAATTTAAGGAGGCAACCATATAAAATGTAAATCAAATGTTTGCTTCTTTACTTGTTATGGCAATGCTTCAATACCACTGTAAGCTGAAAAGCCCCACACACCCTGATGCCTGCGTTGCGGAGGATCTCCAGGGTGGGTCTGACGTCAGTCTGGAGCTGGTCCTCCACCCCAGTCAGACACAACAACTCCATCTCCATCTCCAGGCTCTCGATCACCGTGGCTACTTTCAGGGAGCGGTCATGAACACTGAGTTTGGCCTGGATGTACCGCGCCTGGGGAGAAGCACAAACAATGGAGCTATCATGCGTGGGTGGATATAAAAACACAAACAAATTTAAAAAAAAAGTGTGCTTCATTGCAAGCAGTGAGAAGAGCATAATATTGTTAAAGACAAAGAAAAGGAAGAGGAAATGTGAGTCTGCAACAAAAAGGGTTTAAACAAATGAAGAGGAAAATAAACAATCACCACAACGATAGATAACTCAGGTGTTTTGATATTATACATGTCCAAGTAGAGAAGTCAAGATAATTGACGTCTTTACTTAGTCTAAACAAAAAAATTACTTTGAAGATACTTGTTTGCATCAAAATCATAATAGACTGAGCTATTTTGATTTTCTCACATTGCCAAACAATTTTGCACAGCAAAGAGGCAGACACATACACATCCCCACACTTTGCCACCTCCCTCCCTTGCAGGGGCCCACCTCAACAATCTTGGCTGAGAATCAAAACAGTAGCTGCTGCTATAAGTTTAAAACTCTACTAACATTGTAAGTGTGTTTGGAGAGGAGCCACTGGGACCCTCTTTAGTTTTGCCAATGAGGCAGAGAAACAGGAAAAGTCAGGAGATGTCGATAAGCTTTGATGCTATCAGCATCACAGACCAGCAAGAAAAAAAAGAACAACCCTGGATTTGATGTTTGAAAGAGAATTAAAAAGAAGAGTAGCACTCCTGTTTCTGTGCCAGAAATACAAAAGGAAGGGAAAAGGACATGGTTGGATGGATGGACGGACATAGGGAAGGATGAATTGACTGACAAAGGGATGGGTGGACAAATAAACGGTCGGACGATAGAACAGATGATGGATGGACAGACAGGCAGATGGACAAAAAGAGATGGTGGATAATAGATAGATGGCTTGAATTGAGGGACAGACAGACAAAGGGAAGGCTGGATAGTTGGACAAAGAGAAGGATGGACAGATGAGTAGATGGACAGACAAAGGAATGGATGGGCAGGTAGAGGAATAGATGGACGATAAACAGACAAATGGATGGTTCTGAAGAGTATAATTGACAAATGAATGGACTAACAAAGGGATAGATGGATGACTGAATGTAGTGCAAAGTGCTTTGGAGTCCTCTGACTTGATAAAGCACTTCACAAGTACAAGCTGTCTACCATCTAAGTGTAGTAACCATGAATCTGATCCCAGATTTAGAAAATCCTTTAATAAAATGTCAAACTTTTCCAGACAGAACAGGAACCCCACTATTATGAGTGTGTGCAAACTGACATCTCCATTCTTTAATGCTAATAGCAAACATATTTACAGCAGAAATGTAACGTTTTGAACTTGCTGTCGCATAATTATGAAAACTGCAGCGCTCCAAATCCATACACTTGGTGCAGACATGATCAATTGGTCAACGCCCATCTTTAACGCTCCAGCTCCAGGGCAAATTGCAAGTGAAATAAAGCAAAAACAATCTGGCTATGACTCATAGAGGAACACAAACTCTGTGTGTGACTCAGATGGTGACTCACTGCTGCCCACCAGCTCTGCTCACTCAATTATACTCTTCAGAAATGCGCCTGGGGCTAACGACTGCAGGGGAGAAGGCCTGGCCCTGCCCTGCTGAAACAATGAGAGGGGCCTTGTGTGTGCGTGTGTGTGCTTGTGTGGGAGGACTGGGTGGATGTGGCTCAAATAGGGGTCAGAGGTTAGTCTGATTACCAAATAACATACTTTGACATTTTAGACGCTTTACTTGTCAGGGCAAAATATCAATCTGTATCAATAGTGTCCGTCAGCTGATGTGCCTGGAGCACAGAAGTTTTCTGGAGCACTGGCTTAATGCTCTGCAGGCTTCCTTCAACTTGGGTCAAATAAATCCTTCGTCTTTTAGCAGAGAGTTCCTCCGAGACCCAACCCCCAGCTCAGCCTCCCTGTGGTTTAATCTTATAAGTGTATGCTTACCTCAAAATCCTGATACTGTTCCTCCGTCAGCGACTTCTTGGAGACCACAAGGACCCTCAGGCCTTCCCTCGCCATGTTTCCACACTTGGAAATGTAGACGAGAACATTTGGGTTCAGCAACTTACAAAGCCTCTCTCAGTGTAAGAGGACATTCTAGCAAAAATAACACCATGTCTGTCATGAATACTCGAAAAATAAAAAGGACATTTACCTCCTCTTCCAGCCAGTCGTTGTACTGCACGATGCCTGCCATCACCACATCAGCACCCTTCATGTAGAAAGTTATCTCTCCTGTCAATTCATCCTGAAAACCAGCGGATAAAGACTTGATTTTTGCAGGACACGTTTTCCTGAGCAATGTGAGCTATGCAAGTCTGTGTTGTTTGGAAATGCAGGATGTATTTGGTAATTGTGATGGATTTAATGTCACTTTTATCAGGACATCAAGTCAAGTTTAAAACTCTCAGGCTTCCTGAGTGAGATATCAGCCAACAAAAATGATGTTAGTCACCAGAGTGAGTCATAGAACAAAAGGTGAAGATTTTCTCAGACAAAACGCTTCTGTTATCCTGTCTTCATATTCTGGCCTTGTGTCAAGTAGCAATTAGTTTCAAAACAACAGCCAACAACCTACTATTTTGACATAAAAAAATAATAAAAAGCCAATAGATCTGTCATTTATAAGGTTTTTTTTATTTGCAGACAGAAGAAGAAATTGGATCCTTAGCTTGTAACAATATTTTTCTAAAGAGCAGGGTGTCCCAACTGCTTTGAAAATTAGGGGAAGGGCAAAGGGAAAACTAAAAGGTTTTGAAAGCAATCCCTTGGAAATATAATTAGGATGTGGACTAGTAAAGAGACACTCACAAATTTACATATTTTTCAGTTTCTCATTTTTCATAACCACAGTAATGTCTAGAGCAGACGGGATCTGCAGTCTGTGGCTCTTAAAACTTGATTTAGAAACCTGTTTCTAATAATTAAAAGCAAAAATAAAGGTTCTCTTAGCCATTTGTCTGTATCTTGGCCAAATTAATTCTTGCATGTTAACTTGTGTCTGTTCCAGTAGCATGCATCAACAGTGGCTCTTAGTGCACTCACACACATAAACTGGCACGCACACGCAGGGCCAGGCTGATAGAAAGCTCTAGTATTATGGGGTTATTCTTCTTGTAAAAGGCAAACGCTTCTATTTTTTTTAAAGATAAAAATTAGGAAACTTTGATTCTTTAAATTCCACAATGTTTTTCTTTCTATATTTTTCCAGGAACAAAAACTGTTTAGGCCACAGCTAATAACTTTTATTTAGCATAAAAGTAGCAAGGATATATTTTTTTTCTGAATTTGAAATGCTTTCAAATTACAACAACCTTTAGAGCTTTACGTTTAAAACACGTAAATGTAATTTATCAGGTTGGATAACTATACATACAATTATCTCCCCATATAAAGTACATTGTCCCACATGCCTAGAAATTAAGATATACTCATCAAAATGAAGTCTGGTTACTGTCTGCCATTTAGGAGTGAATATATTCCATATAATTCTCATTTGTATATTGAAAATAAATACTCCAGATCAAAATGAAATTTGAAAACAATAAAAATGTATTATTTTTTCAAGGATGTTGGAAATAAATTCAGAAAAAAAACTGGCAATGTTAGTCGTCTACAACTTTCAACTGGCTTACCTTCTGATTACGGGTATATTAAGTCATTTTTTGTTACATATGAGGAATCAGTGAGACCTGCTAACAGTGCCAGTGAAACTGACTGTTGTAGCTTTCACTGACACCAGCACAGCATTTGTTTTACGAAAAACAAAACAAACAAAAAAGAAACATGGACTCAGATGACCCTGTTTTCAAAGAGCTCCCAGCTGATGGTACATAGAAGACTTATTATTTTCCTCCTCCAGTATAATGGCTTCTTGTTACATTTCAGGATGTGACAGTGGACTGTATTGAGAGTCTTGGGCTCATTTAGTATTGAAAAGATTGTGATGATGGTTTCCTAAGAAATTAATTAAACTGAATATGCTAAATGGAAAAAAGTAAAATAATAATGTCTTATGAATAAAACCCCAAATAAAATAAATTCACAAGAAAAGCTCTTCACTTTGTACAAATTTCTGTTTTGTTTTTCGTAGTCCCTATACAGACTGAGAAAATTATAAAGTACAAGACTCTATATTTTTAACACTACTTACAATAAAAAATGTTATTTTTTTTTACTTAATGGTGAACTGATGGATTTTCTATAATTGTTCCATTTCTTATTTGCGACTCTCTGAAGTTCAATTTTAAAGGATTAAAACATAAGTTCTTTGACAAGTGAAAACACTTATTATTGTTGTTCTTGTTATTTTAAAAAAAACAGATTTTAGTTTTCTCTGTTTAAGGACAAAATTTAACTTTGTTTTTCCTCTTTTAAGTAACAACAAAATACTTAGTACATTCTTCTACAATAACATCATAAAGTAAAATTAACAGCAATATCATCTTAACACTCACTCGCACAATAATCCCCATTCTTTTGCTCTCGTAGGTGAAGGGAAATATCTGGAGGATAGTGAAGTTCAGAATTTGACCAGTAGGGGTCCGTAGTTGCATGGAGGCTTGGTCTCTTCCCACCAGAGTCAGCCCAACACTCTCTGTCCACTGCACCAGCGACACCTACCAACACCACAGTGAAAAAGCTTTCAAATAATAGACTTAGTACATAACAGAAAGATGAATTTGCTGCAATTTTTATCCATCAGCTGATAATTTTGTTGATTATATTATAAATAAAACTGAATGGAGAGAAACCGTGATTATTAACCTCTGCTCAGATTTTTAAACATCATCATAAACCCCTTATGTCAACATATATTCTATTTTTTAAGTCTGATGAAAAGCAATTAAATTCACTTTTGGACAAAGAATTGTGAGCACTGAAAGGCTCAATCAATAATGCAATCCTTTTCAGCACTTAAGGTTATTGACTGATGTCCATTTATGAAAAGAAAACATTAGTTGTGCTCAATTCTTTCTGAAGGACACGACATCATTCATTAATACAACGGCAGCATGAGAGAGAGAAGAGGGGGAAAGACGTTCCACAACAACTCTCATCCAGCCGCCAAATGGCACATCCAAGTCACCGTCAGTCCTCTGGAAGGAAAAATGGCCGATGATAGGCAGACAGACAAGTGAAGAACAGGTGGTTTCTGATTTTCATGTTATGACAATAAGAAACAAAACAACATATTGTTTCAAGATTATTTCTGCTGCAAATGTGTGTCAGGAAGTCAAACAAAGCCTGGCCAGTGGCCCTTTAACGTCAGTTCAGCTCTGACTAACATCAGACTGGTCGTCCAGGGAGTTATGAAGATATCTGCTTAGTCATAGTCTAGAAATACTGGCCGTGGGAGCATTCTTGGACTTTGCATCCGCCACAAAGGCACCTCCAACATTGAGGTTAGCTGTTCATTTCTGGCTGGACTGAAAAATCGTTCAAACTAGTCAGTCTGACTCAAAAACCAGATGGCTAGGATTGTTTTTTTAATCAGTGGCAAAGGAAACTGCAATGCTGACTCCATGATGACATAAATCGCACACAACACATCTTGAATTATCAGTGCATATCAATGTGATTAGTCTATAAATGATAAAAACTCCACAATTACTAACAGTCCTGGTAGCAACGTATAACAAGATAAATAATAAACAGATCTTTTATTATGGTGGCATAATCTCACATTGAAAAATGTATTTAAAAAGGAAAGAAATCCCATGTCAAGAAGTAAGTGGGAGTTATTATCTTTGGACCGAAAAAGGAATGATCTAGAGTCAACATGCAGATTCAGTTATCAAAGATAGAAACTGGACATCAGGAACAAAATCTGCGTGTAGTGATGAACCTTACAGCCACATGAAGATAATTACAAAGTCAGACATCTATCAACTGAAGAACATTTCTGGGATTAAAGAAGATCTAGAGAAACTCATCCATGTGTTTATCTATAGTTACATTAAGTACTGCAAATCAGACAGCTACAGCTGATCCAAAACACTGCTGCTGGCATTCCCAGTAAAACCAGGAAGATAGAGAGCATTACCCAGGAAGATAGAGAGCATTACCCAGTTCTTAAGTCCTCAACTGTCTCCCTGTAGCTCAGAGAATATTCTTTATGTATCATCAACTTTCCAGACCACTCAGGTCTTCTGGTTTGCTCTATATCCCCAGAAACAAACATGGAGAAACAGCATTCAGCTTCGATGCACCAGAAATCTGGAACAAACTTCCAGAAAACTGAAAAACGGTCGAAACACTGAGTTCCTTTAGATTAAGGAACTAATCTCCACTTGTTTGTAACTGCCTTTGATTCATAATAACTGTTGACTGTCATTATGACTGAAGAAAAAAATAGTTTTTTCCCCTTTCCTAATGAAGAGGGGGACAAAACAGAATTTTCTCAGTGCAGCAGTAGGAAGTAGATTGTACCTCGTCTGGGCTGGACGCCTGGTACACCCTGCATGTGTCTTCATAGTGCTGCTCTGCCTCAGCCTGGTCCGTCACACCGTTAGCCTCGTACACGGGCGTCACGTTGTGCACCAGAGCGATGGCTTTCACAGCCTCGTGAACTCTGCTGCTGATGGTCTTTCGGACCTTGGTGGCTGCCGGAGCTCTGGAGGCCGGAAGGTCATGGGTCGGCTGGGGACACATGCAGAATGCACGGTTTTTAAAATAGCAAAATAAGTCTATTGTAAAACTAAAAGCAAGGTTTCCAGCTGTTTGTGAAAATGAGCTGGAGTGCCAATGGGACTGCCATAGATGGTCAACACTGTTGCATTGGAAAATACTGTTTATCAAAAAGTCTTTATAGAAATTTCAAGATAAGGGCATGAAGTAAACAGTTTTCATAGAAGGGGATTAGTCACTCAAAAAAAAAAAGAATAATTCTGACTTTAATCTCAGAATTCTGATATTTTCTCCTTAGAATTCTAACCTTTCTCAGATTTGTTAGTTTTATATCAGAATTCAGACTTTCGCAGAAGATTAAAGTCTGAATTTTCATTTAGGTCTTACTAGAAATGTTAAAATAAGGGCATAAAAACTAATTAAACCCTCCAAAAGAGGATTTTTCCAGTGACCCTATACTTTTTTGTATAAACCTTCTCTTGAAGATGGAGTCTTAATTTCCTGTCAAGAATTTTCTAAAAGAGGAACAAGAAGAGTAAGGATATTTCAGTTTGCTGCTTTGATAGTGATCCATAAACATAACCAGATGTGTAGAGTCAATAAGACTGATTTGCTTTTGCATTGTGACGCTTCTATTTTTAGAAGACCGTGTGCTCCAATGATGGAGTCATTAAAGAAGTGCTGTCAGCATTTCGCTTGTGGGCTGATCCTGTTTCCTGCTTCACTAACCTCTGGTGTCAAGAGGACAAAGAGTGTCATATGAGATTAGGAAGCACTCAACCAAACAATAATCCCAAACTCAAAAGTTTCTCTCCACAATTCTCCATGTTTTTTTTTTTTCTCATATTTTCCCAACTTGTTCTTGACTTTTATTTTCTAGTTTCTGTGTTTTCTTACCTGTGTGTATGCGCTGAACACATGGCTTTGTACTTCATCCATTGAGTCCATCCCATAAGCCACAGTTCCAAGATGGAGACGCCTGAACACCATTTCATTTTGGGTAAGGGTGCCTGGTGAACAGAAAAGAACATGGTTTGTACATGTTTTCTATTTTACATGTCCAGACCAAGAGTTCTGGACATTTAAGGTTACAAAGTATGAACTTTAAACTGGGTTATTTTTGAGTTTTTTCATCAGGTCATTTTAAAAATCATAAGAAAACACAACACTGAAGTTGGATTTTGATTCAACGATGTGTTAAAGCACTATATCACAACTTTTTAGGGCATTTAATCTCATCTAGATCATTTCCAACTCAAAATATATGATGCTTGAATTTCTCAAACTTAAAAAGCAAAATTGTTTTGTCTGAAATGGTAAATTTAAACCCTAAGGTGGCACAAGACAGATAAATAATGCAACTTTTAGAAAATGGAATAGACATTGCTATTGAAACCTAAACAATTTTCTGTTCATAACTGGTTTTTCATGCCTATCTCAACCGTGTGAGAATTCTGACAAAAAAAGCATTTCCATACAGGAAGCCAAGTCAAATTGATCCCTGGGATTTTGGCAACAGAGCAAATACTTTTGATGGTTTTAGATTTACAAACAAGTTATCTGAAGCAGATTTTGCAGTTGACATGTGGTAACTGAAAGCCAGAAGCCTTTGACACAACACACAACCTCTGAATCCTCACGCTTACTTTAAAAGCATTTTCTGCCAGTATATCAAAAAGACTTGAGGGGCCATGCTCATACATTAGCCTGACCCGTGGCCCTGCTGGCCTAATCGCGCTCTGGATGTGGAAATGGCCGATCATTTTATTGGCCATGAGGGCTGTAAATCTGACGCACAACACCTCACGCCCGAGGAAGTGCAGCGGTAAAGGCTGCTGGGCTGTAAATGTGTGTATGGATGAGAAACTTTGGGGTCTCGTTTTATGGTTTAAGGTTTCAATAGGTAGCAGAAACCCCACCACAGAGCATCGCCCCCAGGGAAGGAAAACACTAAACTCATTTACCATAAGCTCCCATTCTAGAGCTCGACTAGTTGGCCCCAGTAAATCTTTTGCTGAGAGAACAAAGAGTATGCAGTGCAGTGGAACCTGTTTTGTCAGTGAGCAGGTAGGAGATGCGTCCGAGCTGCTCCGGTATGGTGCTGGCCCTCACCACCGTCCCTGGGATCTTGGAGTCTTTCTTGATCATCCAGCTGAAAACCATCTTTCCCATGTCCAGATTAACACGCAAACTGTATTAAATAAGAAAAAAGATGATAAGCTTATTATAAAACCTCTAAATTACCCTAAGAATATTTCAGATAGTATTATTTTGGACCTGATGGGCACAATGTGGGAGAAGAGGAGTAAGAAACGGAAGATCTGGAGGTACCAACGGCCAGCGAAGTGCTGAAGGGCCACCATGACTAGTGACACAACAACCAGCGCTCCAAACAAGATCTTGGTCAAACAGTTCACCTCCAGGTCAAACAAACCCACCTGACGGGAAAAAAATAAAAAAAACAAACCTTATGGATCATAAAAAATTTTGTGCATGTGCAAATCTGTGTTTTGCATAAGTATGCATAATCCTGAAACTTTGTTCCACAAACTTTATTTTACTTCATGGATTAAAGCAAGTTTAGTTTGTGAAGTGAAAGAAGCATGATAAGTTTTAAGACTGATTATGGTTGCAATGTGATGAAAAGCTCAAGGGGTGTGAATACTTCTGCAAGACCCTAAATGCAGTTCTAAGTAAGTCCATAATTGACATTCGGAATATCAGTAATGTTTATAAGTTGTTGTCAAGTCGTACTCTACTTGTGGCACCCTACTGTACCTTGTGTCGCGGGTTGGAGGTGTTCATGACGCTCCGCAGCTCCTTGCCTGTGTAAATCACAACCCCCACCACCGTGCCTGGGGTGAGGGGAGACAAAAAGGCCAAAAAGTGCCTCAGGTCAGTAGACTAAAGCTCCAGCATCAACCATAATATGTCAGAAAGATGTTTTCCAGACCCATAATCCTGACATGAATAGACTTTTCTAAAATGAAGAAAGTCAGATTTCCAATTGCATAATGGGTAACACATGTTAAAGCGGGTTAAGGAGGATTTACTCTCCTGCAGGAGAGAAAAAAAAAAACACTTTTTTTTAACAATTCTACTTAAGTTTCACTGAGCGATTTATAAATGAACAAAGCTCTGCCTCACTAATTTTTCACAAAATATCAGATCAACAGTCCCAGAAGCAGCAAGTTAATTTCCTGAAAAACAGTTTTATTGGTGTCATATGAGTCAGACATTTACCAGAAGCAACAACTGTGCTGGCCCACAGGGTGTTCTCGATGCTGAGGCTTTCGTTAACTGGGGGGTCTCCATCTTCCTGGAAAGGTTCAGCAAAAAATGGTGAGGGAACACGCAAGTCATTCTAAAATATAAAACAAAGAGCTTAAAACAACAGCTTCAATAATGTTCTTTTTTACTCTAATTTATGGTTAGCAAAAGATAACAAAAATACATGACAAATGGAATTAAGATAAATAAAAGTATATTCTACTTTTATAATGCAACTAAACAGCATCAAAGTTTAATTAAGATTTTTTTAAAAACCACATACTCAATTCAGTTCCCATAAATTCCTCTGAATATGTGCATCAACATAGTTGAGTTTATGCTTTAGCATTAGATTCTGCTAAATGCCATGTTTGTATAGAAATTTCACATTGGCAGAACTAATGTTCATGATGAGTGCTCTAAAGTTAATTTAGCTAACAGTGCCCACCACTGGAGTTTACTAAAGGATGGAACTATACTTGTCAAGTTACAAAATGTTTATTGAGTCATTAGGTAAAAAGGGATTAAATTCAAATTGTTAGAGTGACTAATATTTAAATAAAATTGCAATCAAGTAAACAAACACAGAGCATTAAATACAGGCTTACCCTGGTGAAAGTTCCAATAAAGTTATGAATATCAATGTTTGGTTCTTCTGCATACACATATGATCTGATCTGAAGAAGGTCCTGCAAGAAAACAAAGAAGACTTGACATCTGAAGACAGATTGACTTGTGCCTGATTTTCAATTTCATACTCTTGCTAAACTTACTTAATGATATGCAGACAAAAGAATAGCAAAGATGTCCACTGTGCCTTTCTAAAGACTGTGTACTGACTTGATCAAACAACAGAACTACTTCAACTTCCAGAAAAATTGTAAAATAGCCTTTTACAATTTGATCAGACTGTCATAATGTGAGTAAGCACCATCAGGCCATACCTGCCAGTTATATCTAAAGGAAAATGTCTATAAAATTATTCTAGTATTACCTGCAACCCACCAAAACCAAGCTTGCGTCAACTATTTTCAAAATTGAAAAATCTTGAGTCAAACACTGAAAACCTTTCTGTAAGTAAAGCCCTGAGGTGAGTCCGGCCTTTTGGTTAGGGGGTCTTTTGAAGTGCCAGCCACACTATTCTTGACCCAAATGACCACTCTCGTCATAATGACAGACCTGCAGCTGCACTGAGAAAACAATCTGGATTCACAATTAGTCCTGTGTTCATCAGCTGGGAAAGGACGAGACTAAACAAAGGCATAATCCTCAACTTTTTCTCCAGTGTTTTTCTCACTCACTGCGGCAGTTGGCAGCCTCTGTGTGCAGGCCACCGGGAGGCGCAATTTCCAGTCTGTCTCTCCGTCCAGCTGGTCAGTTCGCAGGAAGCAGGATCCTGGAAGAGATGCTACATTAAACGTACTCACCTCTAGAGGGCGACCAAACATAGACTTTTAGTTAAAGCAGAAACCTCTGGCCTCACTTCACAAGAAAAACTACTCCAAAAACCCCAGACTGTCTGACTGAATCTCATATTTATAATTAACTTTCAAGATGAAAAATTTTAAATAATATAATTCTTTCACCAGTTAAGTATGAGAGCTGCCCATTATTGTTGGCAGGGAAAGGAAAGGCATCCAGGGCCCATCCCCCTCCTCCAGCATGCATGCGTCATCCTGCCCAAAACTCTCAATCATGGCTTAGGCCCTTCATAATTGACCTAATGGCCTCCACATGGAAGAAAGATAACCAGCAACTATTTCCAGTAAAACTAAGTTTGTTTTTTCCTGGAACAGGAAGATGCAACAACAAACATGAAGCCCTTCAAACAGCTTTGACAAAAGAAAAAAAAAATATAGACTGTGTGCCTCAAGAGTTTTTTGTTTTTTTTTAAATAAAGAATGCATTGTGCTTCGGTACATTTGTCATCACAGATAGAGCTTGTTCTTATCCATATTTGATTATTCAGATGAGCCAGTGAGGCATCCCCCTTGCCTGTCTCTTGTTGTCTCTTTGCATTTCATCTCGTGCATCCCTTGATTTTCCTTTTCATTATCTCCTCATTTGAAAGACAAAAATTAAGTGGGGCAAGACATTGCAGATGGTACATTGTTTTGTCTACATGGCCCATTACTTTATCAACCTATAAGAAGACCCAGAAAGAATTTAGCTCCAGCTTTAGGCTTTCTTGTCATGCCTCCAGGTTAATCCTGGCACCTCTTTGCCTTTTTTTTTTTTAAACAAATCATTTCTCAGTCCAGATAGCCAAGTTGGGGTGTTGTGGCTATCTGGGAGAATGACCAGCAGATGTTTACCATTTCTCTCAGAAGTCCTCAGAAAGATCATGTCAGCTGGGACACGTTGGTTCTAGAAAGAAAGGCAAAAAGAAAAACAAGAATTCAATATCACTTCATGACCGTTTATTTTTTCTTCTCCATCCCTTCACTTCTTCCTATAACTAAAGAAAACAAGACTTTAAGCTCTGTGTGTGCCACATGAGCAACAGATAGTCAGTCATAAGTCTTCCAGAAAAATCAGTTTTCACTCAAATTTTTACACTACACGCAATAGGTTCATCTGGACTGCTTTGTTAAACAAATCAGGACTTGGATTAAAACTTTAAATGCTATATAAGCCAGAAAAATAAAAACTACAAAATGTTTCAGTATGTTCAATGTCAGACTTCTTAAGTCCATTATGATTAAAATTTTAAGTCCTAAATGAATGAATTCTTGGTTGATCTTTGCTTCACAATCTTCTAAAGGTTGTCACCGTTGCTGGTACAACTTTTTCCTTCTACTTAACTTTACATCATAAAGCTTAGATACAACACTCTCCAGCAATAACCTCTTTTTGAGGGGATCTCTCTGCTGGACAACTGTCAAAGCAGTCATATCTATAGCTGGTTTCCCATTATAAATGTGCACAAACTTTGTCAATATTACACTTGTGTCAAAAAAATAAACTATCACAATTTCACAATATGGGTGTTTCCATTAAATAAGGAACTTCAACTACTTCCTGCTGTCTTTTTCTTTATGGTTTGAGCCAGTGGCAACATCTGGTTGTTGATCATGTGAATAAAGTGATGCAAAAAAAGTGTTTCCATTAGAGTTTTGCAAAATAAACAAGCAGCAAAAAACACCTCATCCCATCATAAAAACCTTCAATCAAAAAATACAAGTTTTTCAAAACTGCTATGTTTCCATTGAGCAAATTCATTTTCAAAATGTTGGTTCTCGGATGTCTAAGGATAAATTCCTTTCAACAATGCTTATTAATTTTCTTTAATCACAAAGTTTGCAGTTTTGACACCATATTTACTTCCAAATCATAGGTGATGTTTCTCACTCTACAAATTGAGAAACATCAATTTAAATTAAAGACTTGGAATGGAAGCTAGTTGAGAGAACCCTTTTCTTACACTTTGCCAAAAAGAAAACAAATCATAAATTATATCAGAAACAGCAACAAAAAAAACTAAACAAAGAAATTTACATCAATCTAACTAAATTGAATTTGTACTCAAACCTCATTAGAGCCATTTTAGGTTCACATCTCTTGTGTAAGTATTAAGATTTGACAGGCAGGGGCTCAGAATTGATCACAAGATTACAAAATCTTTACTAACTCCTTCCCCTTCAGTCGCCAGTGGGGCGCAGATGATTAACAACCCGGCTTGTTATTGGCCATCACATAAAGGGTGACTCAATGGTCCTGAAGGGCCCCAACTATTCACAGATGTTCATCAAAACCTTCAACAAACAATCTCCAACAAACCTTCTCCACGATTATGAGGTCACCCACTTGAATGCCGCTGCTTTTAACCTTCACTGTGCCTGAAAAGTAGAACAAAAGTAAGAGGAGGAAGTTTATTATATATAGCAACACTTTGAAAGTCTGCAGATTGGTCTGCAGATTGATTTTACTTTATCAAGTATTATTCAAACATGAAAGTATCCTCTGGGTGAACTGGTGTCCTGCATGCCAAAGCAGCTCTCCATGCAGATTTGAAAGAATGTTGTGTGGGGGGGGGTTAAGGGGGTTGAGCCTTTTTCTCTCATTCCACTTGGAATGAACAGGCAAAATTGTTTGGAGGAGATCACTGACCCTTGAACCGTGCTGTGACCTCTTGGCTTTGCATATGTAAGACATTAAAGTGCATTAATATTGTTATGCATTTGGGCTCGCAGGACTTCACATGAGTGCTTTGAACATTAAATACAAAAAAAAAAACCTGATAGAACAGTACAGCTTCAATAAAATGTCACTTTTTTATATGTCTTGCATCTATTTATGTTCCTAAACTTTGGACTTAAAGAAACTTGGAAAAACCACAACAACAATTTCTTCCTGTGTTAACAAAGTACTGACACCATAAAATTTCTATAAAACCACAAATTATTCGCAGGGGTTGCCATCATGGAGGCAACCAGTCATTGTGTTTATGGCTAAAACAAGCTGCCACTTCAAAGAGGCAAAGTGATGGAAACCACAAGAGGTCCTCCGCTTTTTATTGCTGCTACCACTTTATTCCAAGGCCCCTTATGTACACTTTTAAATCTCTGCTTTGAATTACCCACCATTTCCCCTTGCCCCAATAAGTTTTAATAGGACCAACCTCCTACAGTTAGTGGAAGGCACTGATCCAGGGGAATAAATAACTGACAAATATCAGCACAGACAAACATAGGCTGAGCTGTTTAGGCTTCCTTCTCACCTCTTTTAGAAAGCTTGCTGTAAACTTGAGAGTTTACTTCTTTGTCTCGAAGGTAGCACCTTATCTCTTCAATTGCCTCCCTTGTGATGGTGATAAACAAAACAAAACCCTGGACAGGAGAGGGAAATGCCACAATTAGGGAGAGAATAAACATTTTTTAAAATTCAATAAAGAGCAGAGCAGCTTAAACAATATAAACTAACTAGAAAAATGTAGCAAACACAAATAATGTGTGAGGAAATGAAGTGGAGGGACTACAATGATTAACATTTGTTGGAATGCAACATACCAAAGGGACCCAGTAGGTGTGGAGGGCACCTAGGCGTAACTCCTCAACAAATTGAGAGCAGGCCAGTAGCAAAAAGTACAAGTTAAAGAAGTACTTAAACTGATTAAACAGCACCTGAGGACACAGAGCAGAGAGGAGGAACCGTGTGAAACACTTAACATCTACTAAATCACTTTTTTGTCACTTGAATTTTTTCACAAAACTCTGACAAACGTCAGCTTCAGAATCAAAGTGAGAACTTCAACCAAGTTGAATATTTACTTGCTTACTTGAAACATTACACAAACTAGTCAAATTTTACTCCAAGACATTCTCTCTTATTAAAAAGCAATTTTTTTTCTTCCTTTTTAACTCTCCACAGCATGTTTTACAATCAGGCTTTTCCTACTGATGCCATCTTATAGGCTGATATTTGAGCTCTGAGTTGTAGCAGAGAAAAGGCATGCTGTGGGGTCTTTAATAGAGGTAGTAGCCTTGAACACAACAGAAAATGGTAAAGATTTATGCATGAAAATCATGTTCAATGTAATTTTTGTCAGATGTACTGGGTTAAAATAAAAAAAAGCTGTTGGTTTGTTGTTTGTTTAGACTTAAACAGAAAAATATCACGTTTGTTTTGTCTTTATAGTTGTGAATTTGTTTGTTTAGATTGATAAGTATTTGACCAATCACAGACGAGTAACAATAGAAGGATAAGTGGCCTATTCCACTCTCCGGCTGGTTACATTGGTTACTCTACTTGTGCAATTGTACCTCAACATGCTTACATTAAGATATTACAGTAATTAGGTCAGTGATTTCCTCAGATAAATTGTCATTATGCATTATCACTTAATGCAGTTAATTTAACTGATAAGGTGTGATTGCTTAATACTACTAAGGGTGAGAATACAACATTGAAGCTGATATTTCAAAAGCAGATATGTTCTGTGGGCAAATATGGAAATAAGCTTTCATAAATAAAACTTTCAGATACTATGCTAAAGTGTTGTTTTGGGGAGAAACATATTATAATTGGCTGGAAAACAGAAATGTGTGACTTTGAATTTATTCCAGTCTTGTGACACTTTCAAAATAAAGCTACAAATATTTTAAAGACTTACATGTGATAAAGAATTCCAATTTAAAATATGTCCCAAAGTTGCCCTCACACTTTTTAACTTCCGACCCACAAAATAAAGCAGAAGAGACTCATCACTCAAACCCGCTAGATAAGTAAGCCATGGTGTCAATAAAACAGAAGTATAATGGCAGCACAAACAGCATAAATAGCCAATAAATCACTTTAATATATTTGTAAGAAGGTTTTTTTTTTCTTTTCTGGTTCCCTAAGTGAACTGAATTAGTGAACTGAATATGACTTTATATCAGACATAATAGCAGAAATCAAAACAACATTATTAGTAACTTAGTAGTAATATGTATCTAAATGCATTTAATTTTCCATGTTTTTCACAGATTTTGAACCAGATTGTGCTCTTTGTGGGTTGATAAGCATGTAGCAATCTGGAAATATCTGCATTTCATTCCCCAGTGTGTGATCCTAAATTTAACACACAGACTCCAGCTTTGCCCACTTTCATTACCACCTCTGTGCAAGATTACAAGTAGGAGAAAACTTGTGCCTTCATGCTGCTGCTTCATGGCATTTCCAGAGATGTTGCCCGGTGGAGCCGGTAGCGCAGCAACCAATCTGCAGAAACATAAAGCTTCCCATATTTTCCGGGGGAAACAACATCTTGACATGAGACAGAGTGAAAAAAGAAAAGCATCCTGATTTGCAATGCAAAAACTTCTTGCTCTTGTCTTTTGCTTCCCAAACAAATCTGAGCTACTTTCAATTTCAGTCGGTATTAACACACACACAAAAAATATCTTAAGACAACTGGATGCCCAGAAAGCAAATGAGAATATGCAAATCTGGAAAGGAAAATGCCATAATCCAAAACACAGCTCAAAGACTTAGACATAAGAGTCCAAGTCCACATGTCCAAGTATGGCTAATGCAAACTAATAGGCCTCTCTATCAACACCAGGTGTTTGCTAAAGGAGGATTTATTGGGCTTTCTTCTGAGAAGACTATATGCAACACAGACGCTGTACTCAGTTTATTATTTAATGACAATTAATTAAAAACAGAACAAGAGATTAAACGTTTAGTGCATTCTTAATGAAAAATGTTATTTTAGGTTTTATCTATTTGAACTGGAGCGTAAGCTTAGCCAAGACTAAAGAATTAACTCGCAGCTGCATTAGGCGACATAAACATGTATTTGTTGCAGCATTACTAAAAACTGTACAGGTCTTACAAAGGTTTAAGAGTTATCTTATGAAGTGAGCCTATGAGTGACTGAAATTTCCAGACAAATCTCTAAGAAAAGCTAAAAAAGAGATGGAGCACGTTTAAGGACTACAAATTCTTTTAAAACATGTCCAACAACTTGACAGTGAAGTCATGTCTGCCTGAAAGAGGTGGGCGAGATTAAACAGAGGAAAGATGAAGAGGCGACCTTTGACTGACACTAACCCCAGGAAGGAAGGTGAAGAAGTTGTACTTCTGGTTGTTAATGACATTCTTCGGGTACCGCTGCTCCCTCTTCTCTGGGTGGCCAAGCCACACGGTGCGGGGACGGAAGTCCCCCATGCCACAGCAACTTGACCATGGGCAGCATCTGAAAGCAACCAGAGAGGGAGGAAAAAACATTTTATATATAAATATATTTTTTTTTTTAAATCAATCTTCCACACTCATCACAATCTCTCCCTGAAAAACTAAGAAAAATCCGATCTTTATTTTCAGGAAATTTACTCAGTGGAGGAAAAAATTCAGAAGAGAAATAATCATTGCCTGCTGTTCATAAAACCCTCGTCAGCAAATAGGACAGCTCTTAGCCTTTTCCTATAACATTTCACAAGGTCACAACATAAAAGTCAGGGATCTTTGATCATTCCTCTTTCCACAATCTCCTTACAATGTCCGGAGTCCTGTATTATTCTAATCAATTCAAAAATACTTTATTCATTCAAAAGTCAACGACTGATGGTAGAATTTCCTGCAGCAGTCTGTATTACAGTGAGTCTAGAGAAACCTCTGATTGAAGACACTGTTTAACAGTGTGATGAAGACGACGTTCAAGGTTGTTTATAATCCTTTTCATTTCATAAAGAATCCTTCTTTGCACAATAACCTCTACTAATATTACTTTTTATGCTAACTTAGCTTCAAGGTTTGCTTTTGAATTTAGGTCTACAGACTGAGATGGCTATGAAGACGGTTGATTTAGAGAACTCCTTTTCTTTTTCTCATGTTCCTCCCTTGTTTCACATCACACCTAACTGAAGTGTTTGTTGCACAAAGCCTCATCTCATCTGACCAAACACACGATTCATGTTAAAAGTCTCAGTTGCGTTTAGTCAACTCTACATATTTACTTTGGAGACGATGGGACAGAAAGGTTTTTTTCCTGTCCTGACTCAAAGAACCAGCTGTTATGTAAATAGTATCTAAAGGTACCTATGTGAAGACTGTGACTGAAAAGAGGAAACTAAATTTCAGTACAGCCACATTTTGATTATTTGACAAATGTTAACATATTTAACAGTAAAGCAATGAGTTCAAATTGATATGACTGAATTATGACACTGAAAGATTCAACCATTTCAAAACGCTCCTCATTCTAGTTCCATAAAACGCTACTCAAGAGATGATTGCAAATGAAAAGTACGATTTTATTACAAACGCCGTTTATGGAGTAAGTTTTTACTGCTTGTAATTTGTTTTGACCCTTGAAAACACAGCGGTTTTGTTAATAATAGCCCAACAAAACACTTCTGGTTCCAGGAAAAGGGTCCTGCAGTTGAAACACACCTATAAGCCCTTGTCCAGTCCTTGTGGTCAAAACAAGCTTCTGTGCCACGTCATACTTCTTCCCCAGGGGAAACCGGAAACCGGGGATTACTTCTCAGAAGTTTCTGAATGTTTTCCTGGGAGATTTGGTTAACTAATACAAAATTTATTTATTTTTAGGCTTTTTTTTAGCTTTACCATTGGAACAACCTTGGAAGTGTTCACATCATCATTTACAATTCAGAGAAACTCTCATCGTAAATGCTCTGCTGTTTGTAATGTGTACCTTTATTCCACCTCGACACATGCAGAAGGAGCAGCGCTGAACTGAGCTAAGAGCCATGTAAATAAATATTAACCTTATCTCAGAAGAAAGGTCATTTCCAACACTATCAAAACAAAGATTATGACTCGAGCTTGCATGTCTTAATAGAAGTAACACATCTTGTGAGATAGAGCATAAAATGTGAATGACTGTGATGCATTGCGATGTAGTTCTTAAACTTAAAGTACTGACAAATGTTCTACCAAATGTTTAGCAAATAAAGGCTATGTGACGAGGCATGAACCAATTTATGTGCCAACCGATTTATCAGTGCCAATTTCCTTTATTTCTTCTCTGCCTTGCCAAAGGTCTAAAAAACAATCACTGTCCTCTTTGACTCTGCAGTGAGATAAGTTTGACTGCAAGACCTGCCCACCAGATCCTGTCTGCAGGTTTTCAGTTAACAATGGTCACTCCACTGTTGTCAATTCAGTGACTTTCTTTCTATATTTAGCAACATTTTAGGCAAGAAAAAAAAAAGTGGTATCAGTCAAAATCTGAATCTGCAGGTCTGGCTTTTTAAAGATCCGTAATTGCCGATCAGCTAGACAACTGCAATTAATGCACACCTGTGAGTGACTTATGCAATGCTAACATTCCAAAAAGAGAAACAGAACAAGTTGAGCATAACATCTAAAGAGGTTAAACATTCTCGTGAAATGCTTCTTCTTCAGGAAATCATTGAAATCCTTGCCTTTCAGTTTAAGTAGTAAGCCAAACTTTTTCTCTTGAAGAAGTCTGGTTTCTTCCTATTAAAAGGGAGTCTTTCCTCTCCACTGTCACTACATGCTTGCTAAATAAGAGGGATGCAGCCAATAAAAAACACAATTGTCCCGTCGCTACAAATTCATCCAGGAGTGACTGCGTCAAGTCAATGAATTCATGTGATCTGATGGGTTTCCTTAGAAAATGTTTTGACCAGTTAGAATAAACTGAAATTAAATGCATTGTTTAATTTTTTTTTTTTTTTTTTTGTAAAGTTCTTTGAAAACTGAATTGAACTGTATTATAACCTACAATGCTGTATTGCCTCACCAACATTTTTGGTAGTAGTTACTCCATGTTTGTCAATGTATCATAACAAAACAATATCATAAACTCCCTGAACCTGAATTTACAGTTAACAGTTTATAATTAATAAATTAAACATATACACAGAAAAACAAATCATTTAAAGCTTCATTTGAATGACAGTCAGTATTTAAGTGGAGAACTGGCTTCTTTATTGTGTACTTATCACCATGCAAGGACACATTTTATCACATCAACAAAATTCTGCTGTTAAAGATAAACTCACAATCAGTTAGTAGGATGACTCACTGGCAAAACTCTTAACTGACCCTTCAAAACACTTACATGTCCATGAGGACCATGTGTGTCGTTGTGACAGTTAGGAGTTTAAAACAACGCCTTTACCAAGTGTAATGTGTAGCTTTTACAGAAGTTACTGCAAATAGAGACAGATGGGCAGTTTCAAAATGGAGTCAACACGTTTGTCGAGCAGACCAGCTCTGACTGCATTGTTTAGAATATGCTCAGTGACTATATGTGCTGGCTGAATATGCTCATTCAGCCAGCACATGAATGAGGACAAATTGCACATTACAGGACAAACGGCAATGATAGCGAAAAATAAATTCTGAGAGAGAGCTGAAATGCTGATTTTTGGCAGTCATCAAACTGTTAGGCAAGAACAGAGTCTTTGATCAGAGGTTTACTTAGAATGACTGTAAGACTAACCATTACAGGAAGTCCTTTCTGACCACCACCATCATCATCTACAGCTGTTTTGAAGAAACTTCGGTAATATGAGTTACAATATTTAATTTCATTTTGTATTTTTTAACTGAATTAAATTATCTTTATTATTATCTGTCACTATATGATGGCAAACACATCATATAGCGACTTCTACTAATTCACGGTCTTCAGATTTATATTTATATTTTGTTGAGTTTGATGTTATTTTACCATTTGTATTTTTAAAGTATTTCATAACATATGTCATGCATTTATGAGTTATGCATATAGGAGTGGCCAGGGCAAAAATCAAAGTTTAGGATTTTTATCTATGGTGAATGCCAACATCAAAAAAAATCAGGAAAGCCAAAAGCAGATACTTTATATGTAAAATATGAAGCAAGGGCCTATCATTTAAGGCTGAAATTAGTTTAAAAAAGGACTAAATTTATTGAGTATTATTAGATTTGTGTCCTTTAAGAAATAGAAAATGGCAAGCAAACTGAAAAATAAGAAACTCTGCATACATGTTTACAGCTGAAAAGTGATCAAATCCTTTTTTATGTTCAAAGCACATCGTTTCAGTTTTGCTCTACAAATAAAAGCTGATTGTGAAAAATTGTGGAAAATATCAGCCTAACATACTGACACATCATTATAAACCTCCCTGTCATTGTTTATGTGGGTGGTTAGCCTGATGCACCAGGCTGAAGAAGCCTTTTCATTTACTGATCAGCCATTCACTGATTTAATGCAACATTTTCCATGGTTGCATCTTTCAAAGTCTTTGTATTTTCAGATTAATTCACAGATATACATCACCATCACAGCCTCATCAGTCTGTGGGAAGCATGTCAGCACTGCCTCCTGCTTCTCCATCATCTCCCCAGTAATGGGGCCTGCCCTTTTCAGATGAGCTACAACAATGAATAATCTGATAAAGAATAGCTCTGATGAATTGTTAACTGAAGACTATTTTTGAACGAATTATTCCTGCTTTTTGTTCTTCAGCAAGTCTGAAGTGATGTTAGCTGAGCAAATATTGACAAGGGCGTGAAATGCACTTGCAACAAGCGATGCACCGCGGAAGAAGGATGTCTCTCAATGAGCTTAGCTAATGCTAGCTGTTAAAGAGCAACAATGAATAGCGACATGCTAAATGTAAGCATGAAGGACTTTTAAGCCAATTTAAACCACTGACACACAAGAACAACTAGCATAGGTTCAGACAGGTCTCGGACACAATGTCGACGCGGAGGTGTAAACAATTTACGGTACAAAAGCAGAACCCGACAAGTAAAAAAAAAACAAAAACATAACGTTAACATTACGGCGCTGTCCAACGCCCTTACCCATTCCTGTTTTTACTGTCGTGTCTCTTCTGTCGCCGCACCGGTTGAAGGGGGATACTGTCGGTCATTCCGGCGGCTCCCCGGTAGCGGGTAGGCGCTGGAAGAAGTCAACCTGGTTGTAGCGGCTCTCGCCTGGGCGGAGGCTGCTAGCTGTCACTCAGGACAGTGCGCAGGGTGGCGGTGCTGGGGATAGAGAAGGCCCGGATGTTTGGGGACAAGCAGCCGGGCGGACAGAGGACGCAACTTTATTTATAATGCTATTTTAACACGATTAGCTTATGAAAAAAGAACAAACTATCATACTGGTTAATATTTTTCGAGTTGTTTTTTTTTTATTTTTGTTAAAATATAAAGACTTCATTACTTTGGACACATCTCTGTGAAACAAGGTAGTGGCAGCATGAATGGAGGCCAATGTTTTCAAACCTTTATTTCTGTTAATTATACTTTTCTGATTACGGTAATAAAAGCATGACATTTAAGAGTTGAATTTTATATCCTACCCATAAAAGGCATAAAAACATGCTTTAATATGTCCTTAATGTAATAATAATATCTCCTTAAACCTTGCTATTTTCAGAAGGTACTTTTAATCTGACAACAAATCTCACTGGAACTCATATTCTAATTTATTGAAAAAGACTGTAAAACCAGAGCTATAGTTAAATGGTTTACAAGACAGTTATTAAATTCCTACCTGGACCAGGATGGCAGCAGATGTTAATTCATTCAATAAAATAAATAAATGTCTATGGTTGCAAGAAAAAACATAATTGAAGGAAAGTAATAAAAAGTCTAGCATTGTAAAAGTAGGTTTCAGAATCAAACTTTTTGCCAAACATCAGCTTTTTTTACACTGTTGTCTCCCGAAGGTGAATAGCAACATCCTTGTAACAACATCCTTGTAGCAGCATCGTGCTACAAGGATGCTTTTCTTGAGACAGAAAAAAAAAATGGTCAGAATTAATAAGGTTATTAAAAATTTTAAATAATTTTGGAAAAAAAGTTGTTACAGGCTAAGAGAGACATGACACTGTGGTCAGTGTTCACCTTCCAGTGATATGAAAACCCTAAACATGGAGTCAGATGTATTATGAAAGTGTACAAAGTGTACACTTTGAATTTAGTTCACAAAATTCAAATAATGCTTTGGAATTTCTGTTTACAAATTCTTTCTGTACAATTGGACTGAGCTTAAGATGTCATGCATAGAAGAATAGGCAACATTCCCTGTATGTGTGTAAATTTAATAGAGAGATGCAGCTGTTAAATTCTTCTGACTCAGAGACCTTCACTAGGGATAATTTTCATTCCACCTCATAATTGTCCACTGCTTTGTGTTATTCCAACACATAAAATTACATTTGTGGGTGTAACATGACAAAATGTGAACAAAGTTAGAGGATGAATATTCTGTAATTGAAAATTCCTAAAATATATCAGTGGATTAATAGTAAGTGAAAACTTAGTAAGTCAAAGTTTCAATATTCAGTGACCACAAGGCTTCCAATAGCTCACCTGGATCTGTGGCCTGAAGGTGGCTGGGTGTGTTGAACGCCCTCAGCATTAATTATAAATCCACAAAGCAACAGGTGCAAACATTTATTTATGTAAATCAAAGACTGGGCGATGTACACTTTTGTTGCAAAATGCACCATTTGTATAATGAGTAATGCCTACACTAATTAAATTTGCATGCCACCACTTTGGCCTCAGAGTTGCAACATTTGCAGAGGTGAACTAGTCTTTGTTATCATGATTTAGGAAGCCACCACTATGGAAATCAGCTTTGGCTTTCATGATTCCATCCTGTATAGTGTTTCAACTATGCATGACAGCTGGTCATTCTTCATCTTATGTGTACTTTTCTTTGCACATCATGGTTGATTTTCTTTTAAACAAGGCTTTAAAAGAAAAGCCTTGTTTTCTATATATTGCCTATGTCAATCTATATTTCCCATGTCAGAAACAGCAGTCCACCTTTGAATAACGAGACATACAGTAAACAGAACATTTCTACAGCTCGAGACATCTGAACTGATTTGGTGTTTGTGCAGACTACATTATTTCTAAAGTCTCCCTCTCTATAAGCACTGTCCACAAGAATTGCTTGGTTCCTTTAAGGTCCATTATGCAAATGATCGCCTCATTTAAAACTGCAGAGGAAGTGGCCAATGTACAGTTGACACAAAATGGACTGCATGCTTCGGTTGTGGATGCAAATGGGTTTTCGTTGAGAATGCAAAATGCCACTGGATTAATGATGGCGGGAAATGAGAATTAGGAGAAAGAATTTCACTATAGAGTCTGCTGAAGGTGAATTGATGTAAATTAGGGATTTATGTGAATGTTGGGCATTGTTGGAGTCAAAAATTAACCTAAAGCTCAGATGAGTTCTTGTGCTTGCATGGCACAAATTAGAAATGTAACTAGTTTGTGCAAGGTACCCAGTTGACTACCAACCAGGTTGGTTAGTTTTGGGAGAAAAGATGACAGGAAAAGTGTCAAAAAAAAGTCACCCTGATTTTATTCTTCCAAAATCAGAAAACATTTAGCTCAAACAAACTGAAAGAAAACACATATTTACACTGTAAACAGGACCAAATTGGCTCCACGTTGCTTGAACTGTGGAAGCAACTTGAGAACAGGTTTGACATGGTTTACTTAAAGAAAGGCACAACTTGGCAAATGCATATCGATAAAGGAATGAACAGCAGGAGCCTACAAAGTACTCGGACCAGACTGAGTTGTGTAAAGTGTCCAGTGATACATTCATTACTGTTCAACTCAGCAGGTTGAGAGTGAAGATTTCCATAGCATACACAGGAAGAAAATATACAGAACGTTGCATTGAGTGTGAGGGGCACTGAGGGACAACTAATATCGAAATGAGGTAGAAACTTACCCCTAAACTCAAGCATTTCGTATCATAAATAAATAAATTCTGCTACAAACTGATAAAACCAAGGAAGAAAAAAAGAAATCTTGACCGGTCATTGCGGAAAGAAAGGTCAACAAAAATGGCAATTTGTCACCTCTTCAGTCAATTACAAATGCAGTGAAATGTAAAAGCAGAACCTGAAATAAAGTGCAGGCATGACAACACTATGCGTAAGACGGCCTTCTGAGCTCAGCCTACTAAATGTGCCAATGTAACTTTCAGAGCCGAGTATGTGGGTGAAAACCAACTTGAGTAAACTATGAAAATATTATGAAATGTATGCCACACAACATCAGGAAACACCATTTCTTTCAGTCTAAGAGTATTTGTAACAATCCAACAGTGCCTTAAAATGCAGTTTTAGTTCAGATCAGGCACTTGGATATATGAATCAACATATTGTCACCAATATAATAAAAAATGCATTTATAATCCACAATCTGAAACTGTAGAACCTTGACTTTTTATATGAAAGCCAATCTGATCAAAGGCCCTTCACAATGAGAAAAAGTTCATGACAATTATCACTAGAAAAATGTACAATGTCATAAAACCTATGGCACACAACAGAAGGGAAAGTAGTCCTAAATGATACATACAGTTAGCCATAGTATTAATTCTAAACACTGAGACCATGCCCTGCCCGGTCAGACTGGGGTCCTTAAAATTCATGTCTTTTAACTTTTCCTACAAAAGTCATAATCCTTCAAGAGGTTTTCAAGGAGACAGTCTGAGTTAAAGCAAGTTTCAAGTAAGTCATACATTCAAACTTCTGGATAGACAGCAAATCAAATAAAAGTCACATGAAAAAATACCCGCATATATGTTCATATAAAATAAAAAAGAATCCTACAGTAGTAATAAATCAAGTTAAGCTCAACATTCGAGAATCATTGAGATCAGGAGGGGAGAGAATGCCTAAATTAAATGCAAAACAAAATAATCTCAGCCAATCCAGATGGAATTCTTCAAGGGTTTTTTTCTGAACATTGATTGTACCTCATTCAAATATAAAGGGACATATTTGCAAATTGAAGAGGGGTGGGAAAGGATTACCTGCTGATTTAAAAAAAAAAAAAAAAAAAAAAAAAACTAATTAACTGCAATTTTGCCCTCCTCCATGAAATGTGGAAACTGTGACTTTGGCACGCTTTCTGAACTGTTCTTTTCTATTTCAGCCATTGCGCCGGGCAAACCAGAGTGAGATCCATCCATCTTCACAAGGCCTCCGGTAGAGCCAATCAGTGGTCCCCCGGCAGGGCTCCCTGGCAGCGGGATGCCACCTCCTTGAATAACTGAAATTTCATTGGCCTTCATGGTCAAGCCACCAGTGAAGGCAGCAGCAGCGTACTGGTTCCAGATAGATGGGTCGAAGCTCATCTGTGGTGCACCCAGCTCTTTGGGTGCCTGTAACATTTCTGGGAGAATCTTAGCCTCCGAGCCCATTGCCATTATTGCCATGGGATTGTCCAGGGAAAGACGCTGGCCACGGCGAGATGAATTGTTCCACATGTGGGTGCCAATATGTACCTTTAAAAAGAAAATAAATGACCTAGTCAAAAGCTGACACCCAAAATTGACCTCAACAATTTCCAAGAACCCTATGATGACTTACTTTCAGGTTTCCCTTTGTGGTGAAAGCCCTGCCACAGATGTTGCAAGCAAATGGCTTCTCCCCTGTATGTGTGCGCTCGTGGATCTGCAAAGCACTGGCCGATGAGAAGTTCTTGCCACAGGCATTACATATATGCTGTTTGGTGGATCGCCGAGGTGCTGTGGAGATAGAGGAGGGTACAGCTGTTCCCTGAGGCATTTGGGAGCTGAATAATACATGAGGGCCCAGAGAATTTTCAGGTGGAATCTTCATTTCTAGGCTGCCCAAATTTGGAGAAATCTTCATAAAAGGCATATTGCTGGGAGCTGTGAATGCAAAAGACAGAAACAATTAGATCAATGCACGGTTATTTGACAGCTTCTAACATTTAAACATAGTTAAAACTCACCATAGTCCCCATTTGTGAACGAGACACCGGGTTCTTCTTTAATCACTTTGGTATTAAAGCTGCTAGAAGCGGTGAGGTCAAGGGCTCCACTTGACTCGCCTCCATCTTGTGGTCCATCAGGTTCTTGTTTAGTCAGACTCCGAGTAAATTCATCACCTGCTGACTCGGGGGACTTGCTGCTGATGTTCATTGGGGAAGAGGAGTTAAACGACACAGCTGAATCAGATACGGCTGGGCTTCGGCCATTTTGATATTCCTGCTCTTTCTGAATTGGTGGCGAGCCTTTGGGTGTTCCCTCACTTTCTGAAGCAGTGCTGCTCTGTCTTTTCAGGACGAGGGCAGAGGTGAGATTCTTCAGAACATCTAGGCTGGAGAAAGGTAAAGGGGCTGCAAGCTTTTGCGGATGCTCTTCAGTGGCAGACGGGAGAGAGTTTAAGGAATCAGTCAGCTTCTGGGAGTGAAGCTCTGGTTCATGGCCTTCCATGGTTGCTTCAACACCACTGTTGTCCACAGACTTCTCCTCTGGTAGAGATGGTTCCATTGCTTCTGTTGCTTCATACTGGCTTTCTGGCATAGGAGTGTTGGGGATCTGCCCGCCCATGTGCATACGAATGTGCTGCTGCAGTACTACAGCATTTGTGAACTTCTTCTGGCAGATGGGACACGAGTGTTGCATTTTGAGTGGAGTGTTGGCTCTATGCACTCCATAGTGAGCCTTGAGGTTACCCTTTGTTGAGAACGCACGGCCACAGATCTTGCATTTGTATGGCCTTTCACCAGTGTGTGTGCGGTAATGCATTTTGAGAGAGCTCTGACAACTGAGCACCCTGTGGCAGATCACACACTCATTGGGATCATTGGTCCTCTTTTCCAGTCCATCCACCATTTGCTGAAGTTTTGCTGTTCCAGAGCTTGGTTCTCCTGGAAGGGCACCACCATTCATGTGATGGAATGCACCAAGCATTTCTTTAGCCTCCTTGTGATTTGGATCAAGTCCCGGGTCTCGTCCAAACACTGTGGAAATACATGGGGAACTATCGCTTGTCGATGGGGAGGGCTTTTGAGAGAACGGGTCCCTCCCAAAACCATCAAACATGGGTTTGAATCCCGGAATAGACTGTGGATTGAACCCAGCAGTTGGATGACTTATGACAGGTTTAGTTTCTGTCAGATTTGACTCATCGATGGGCACAGACATACCAAAAGGAATGCCACTGCTGGTGGGGATACTGTCGAGATGCTCTGGTACAGGATGGGGATTCATACTGATGTTAGGATATTTATCTTTATGTCTCTGGAAATGCACTTTGAGGTTTCCTTTGGTTGTAAAGCGGTTTCCACAGATGTTACACTTGAAAGGCCTCTCTCCAGTGTGAGAACGGAGGTGAATCTGGAGGGCACTGTCGTTGCCAAAGGTTTTTCCACAGTATTTACACTTGTGCTTGAACAATAATTCCCCATTCTTTGATTCTGATGGGAGGGCTAGCATCTTTGCTTTCAGCTTTTTAGAAGGGTCAATCCCTGATTGGATACCATTAAAATTGCTAGGGAAACTCATGACACCTGGAGCCTGGGGCAGCCGTGGTTGTAAACGGCTCCCCAGATCCGGAACACCCTTCAAAATGTCAGTTTTAGAGGCTGACGATCCCAAACCTGCACTCAGAGAGTTAGGAATTCCAGTGGGAAGAGGTAGTTTACCTTGCTTTACTGACTCCATGGAAAGGCTCTGACTGCCAGTCCTTTTGCCTATCAGAGCTGCTGCTGCAGACAGCTGTTGAGACAAGTGTGCACCCAGAGCTTTGAGGGGATCCATTGTTGCACCCACTGATGGCTGCAGACCCTGTGGGGTCATCATTGCAACCTGGATTCTAATCTGTTCAGTGAGCTGGATTTGCTGTAACTGCTGTTGCTGAAGGCACACTAGCTGCTCCAAGATGATGGGAATAGCTTGAAAGACATCCTGTGGCAAGGCCTGGGGTGCATTTGAAGAATGCTGGGAGACAGCTACATTAGTATCAGGCAAGGTTTGAAGAGTAACATTTGAATCCTGGATTTTAGGTGAAGGCTGGAACGCTCTCTCAGGACTATTAGACATCTCTTCTTGATCCTGCTGTGCAGAGTCCTCAGCATTCATGCTCGACTCATCCTCTGCCCGTTCAAGTTGGTCTGCATTGGAATGATTGCTTGACTGACCATCGTCATGGTCACTGTTCAGACCTTCAGGAGACCTTTGTGAATATTCCTCAGGCACCTCATTGTAATCTCCCTCTTTCATGATGACAACGTGCTGACTTTTAGTGCAATTTTTTTCATGCTCGAGAAACTCTGCTTCATCAAAGTATTCAGCACAACACTTTTTGCAGACTTTGGTTCCTTCCATCCTTAGCCTTTTTACATCATTTTCTGCATCTTCAGCTTGATCATCTCGAGGAATGCCTTTAAGTAGAAAACATGAGATTCACATGAATGCATTTTAGTTATGCCTTGTTTCATAAATAAACACGTTTTCTTTTTTAAAAGAAACAAATGTAACTCTTCGTGCTTGGAGGAGCAAAAAAAAAATCTCAAAATTGAAGTTAAAATGTTGTAGCATCACAGCAGTTAAGGCATATTTGCCAAGTGTTCACAGGGCCAGCAGAGGGCAATCATCCACCTTTGATAAAACAAAGCCTAAAAGACAAAGAACTAGGAGGTTGTTCATTTTTTAAATTAAAATTACTCAAAGAAAAAAAATGTTTGGGCTCACTTCTAATGCCAAAAAATAAAACCACTTATTTTATGTTCTACAAAAATATAAGTATCCAACAATGCAAGTATGCATTTACAACCTCATTAACTACTTCTTTACACACAAGGACAGACTGATTGTTTCTTAAAGTGTGCATTTTAATTTATCTGTTGACTGAGAGGCCATTTCACAACTGAGTGCATTGTTAAATGCAAATGCTCCCAAAGAAAGAAGGCAAACCACCTGTTTGAATTTGCCCACTGAAACTTTTGGCCTTGTTAATTGCTCACCAGGAGGCACTGAAGCGGTGTCACGAAAAAAAAGAAAAAGAAAAAAAAATCCAAACTGGTCCAAGAGGGAGTAGTGAGTGTGGTTTCCCACATTATACAGTTAGACCGCTTTTAACTTAAGCGGCAAAAACACCTGCGAATTGACAGTAGGTACATGCCTGGGAGGCAATCTTTGAATGAAACGAATATTTCTCCAGTAGAAGCCACATTTACGAGAAAGAAGTAGCAGCTCAGCAGTTGACGGCGCATGACCTGTATCTGATCACCTTTACTGGGATCTGACACGAGGTCAGACTCAAAATGAATGGGAGCAAACACACAAATCTCCCTGCAAAGCGACATTCTGTTGCAACAAAACTCATCTTATGTTTACTTCAGTTTCACAAATCTAAAAAAAAAAAGGTAAGAAGTGCGATTGCAACGCAGATTGCATATGGCAACACCGAAGAAAAAAAAAACAAAAACGCACCCCCACCCAGTCTCCACAAAAAAAAGGCGACTGCTGCTCCATCCCCCACCTCTCCGCATATGTACTAAAGGAAACAGTCATGCATTAAACTGGGGGATTTATTGCCTATAGGTCGGCTTACACCACAGTCACATTTCATACAGTTTGTGGATACTTTTGTCTGAAATATGGGCATAAAACATATTTGGAAACAAGTAAAAGTCAACCATAATTGTGTAAAATGCATGGCAACAGCTGAATGAAATGCTTACAAAACTACAACCGTGGGCAACTGTTAAAAGCAACGAGGAAGGGCGAAACTGCGCAGTAAACCCCCTTAAAAAAATCAATTAGTTGAGATTACTAAAACTGAAAATATTTTTAAAAGTCCGAATTTGCAACCTGATTGGATGAATAATAAAAAAAGAAAAACAAAGCGAACGAACACTAAGAGGATTAATATTTCACAAGCACACTAATCTGACTCAAATTAATGTGACAATTTTAACTTGAATAAACGAGAGGCGGTTGCACTGAGCGGCGCAAAAAGTTGTAAGCAGGCGACTCAAGTCGGCCGCTTCAAAGAGTAAAAAGTTACAATGCTGCATTTTGAAGTCGCGAGACACCTGTGTGTGTTCAAAATTATTTTCCAACGAGACTCTTCCCACGACCGCGGCTAAGTTTAGGCCAACCTCGACCAAGTCAAAGGGCCAGCAACAGGTCACAGTGCGACAGGACGACGCTTTTTTCCTTCTTTCTTTCTTTTTTTAAAAGAAACAAATATAACTCTTGGTGCTTGGAGGAGAAAAAAATTTAAAAAGACAGTGGAACTCGTTCTTTTAAAGGAGCGCGTTCGGTGCCCCTGTTTCCTGCGCTTATCTCGCGTGTAAAAAAAACTCACCAGTTCCCACTGAGCCGGGCTCGTCCGAGTTGATGTGCTGCGGCTTGGCTTGCTTGCGCCTCGACATGGTGCAACCATCAGGAGCAAAGAGTCGCAGGCAATTTTCCTCCGCTTCTTCTACAAATTCTTCGCCTTGGAAAAATTAACCCCCCTCCAGTAGAAATGCGCATGTCAACGTGATTATTATTATCAATAATGCATTGCGATTTATCGCAGGCCCCCGACAGCTGATTGGCTCCAGTCCAAACGCTCACACATTATTCAAATCCGCTCCCTATTGATGAGCGGAGCCGTGTGGCCGAAGGGGGCGTGGGGAGGCACGCTAGTGGCCGGGCGGAGGGATGGAGGCAGGGTTAATAATATCCAACTTCTCGCTCTTGTTTCTCCTCCACAATGAAATATGTAGGCTACTGTAACACAGGCCAGCTGAGTCTCTTCATTTTAAATGGTCGTCAACTTACAGCACTTAAAAGTGGACATTACTCCTTCCCCTAACGCGACTAAAATGATCACCCGGTTTGTGGGGCTCGCGGGGGTTTTGACCGCCGCTCCTCGTGTGAAAGAGGCTTTAACACGAGGAGCAGTTTCTCACTGAAACAATAGTTTCATCAGTACTCTTACACCCAGCACATGATGGATATGGGCAATATATGTATGTGAAATAAAATATGAAAAATAAAGCTCAAATACAAACATTTAAATTACAGTGTGACAAAAAGTGTGTTCTATCGATGCAAAGATTAATCTTTATATATTTCATTGTGATCAAAGTTTAATTTACTTGTATATTATTTGATAGATTAACACAGTTATAGTTGCCAAAATCTAACAACTGTTAATTAGTACTGAGGGAATTTACTCGATTTAAAACCTACAGATATATGACCAAGGTGGCATGGTGATACTGAAATAAAACATGCTACAAAAGACCTGAGATACAGGACAATGACCCAGAACATTCATCAAGAGCTAAAATGAAATAGTCTAGATCACAGTGTGTATTGATTTCGAAGAATCATCAGTTAAAGTCCAGTCTTCAATCCATATGAGAATGTGACAAGATTTGAAAACAAATGGCAGATGACATTAATCTAATCAACTGGTGTTGAGCAATTTGGGAAAGAAGAATGGGCACAATTTGCATTCATCATTTTCTTTCAAATGCTCAAGTGTGAGTAGTTTCGCTACTCATGGTAGTTTCCCCAGCGAAACTGCTATATGTGGTTGGAACAGGAGCACCAACCACATATAGTTTCAATCATGTAGACAAAGAAGGTTTATGAAAAGAAATGTGCCAAAACTGCATTTGCATGAACAAGATGTTTATGTATTATAAGATGTAAAATCATTAGAAGTCATAAACAACTGTTTTGTACTTTGTCATTTTATTGTGCTTCTACCATTGATTATATAGCAATTTATGTGTAAATCCAAACAAGCAAATGCACTGAAGCTCTGATTGTGTTTGGTGAGATATTTGTTCCAGTTAATTCAGTTTAACTTTGACTTCATGCTGCTTTGTTCAACAAAAACGGAGGTTGGATAAATTCTGTTGGCCCTGCTTCACATTCACATTGTTGGCTCAGTTTGTGTGCCTAAAGCATTCCAGGAAGTTCACTGCAAAACACTAGGGAGAAACAACAAAGAGAGGGGTGCCATTATTAATGTAGCACCTCATGCATAGGTCAGTAAGCAAGACAACCTACCAGCAGTCACATTTCAAGAACTATAAGCTAAAAATCCTGATGAGTTCAGTGCAAACAGAGTAAAAGGTGGTCATATATCTTTTTAATCTCTCAATGATCGTTTTCAGACAGAATTTATTTCTTTTTTGCATTGTGATTTTCTCACCGAGCTTTTAAAACTGTGGAGACAGGAAGGCTCACTGAAGCAAAATGAAATGCAAAAGGTAAATAGGAGAGAAGGGGTGTGCTAATATGAAGCAGTATTTTCCAAACTATCGTTCAACCGGAAGGTTTCAAAGAACTTTTGAATGCAGATCAGAAATAATTGTGGAAAGACAATAGTTTATTTAGGGGTAGCTCATTATAAATCACAAACTTTAACTGTTAGGATCCTGTTGTTTTACACCTTTCAAAATTAAAAATTAGGAGAGCAACGATTGCAATTTTCTGTCTGATTGCTGATCATCAATCTTCAGAAAGCCTGATAACCAATTTCTTTTGTCTGAAATGTCATAAAATATAGCAAGAAAGTTGCAGAGTTCGCAACAGTGGGGCAACTATTGTTAACTTCCAAAGTGCGAACATGATCTGGTGGGCCAGTCTGTCAGTCAAACCTCTCTCACAGCAGAGCAAAAGGGGATAGTGGTTTATTTTTCAACCTTCGCCAAGGTTGGTAAGATTGGGCAAAAATATCTCCGGATTACTAATCTCCCAAAATTAAGGGAATTGGTGCTGTTAAATCAGTCCATCCCTGTTAAAAATCTTTCAGTTGTCGTGACTAACTGGAGAATATAGACACTGCCTCTGTATGTGAAGTTTGATTTGGACATTTGGATTTTGCAATTAAAAACAAGACAATTACGAAGCTGGATTGACCAAGTCGGAGACAAATGTGTCATTTAGGGGAATGTAAAACATCGTGGCCAAGAGTATGACCTGAAATGAACTTCTGTCTGTACAGTTCAGGTATCCTCAACGCATATGTAAGATTGGCCTTTTTCAAAGCTTGAAATGCCTAAGCACGTGTTACATGAAACCACAGCTGATAAGCAGGAGACAAAGACACGCCAATATATTCAGATAAACAAATGTTCTTTGAGGCTCTGGCTGAAGGTGAAAAAGAGGGGAGTGCTGTCTAGACAGTTTATTGCCCCAATAAGAAGCTACACTTGAATAAAGCGTTTCTTCTGTGTTCAGCCCAAACAAGTCAAACTGTGCACAGTCGTAAAGCTGCAGTTGTGGGAACCAGACGGGATGTCAGCTGTGAGAGCAGCTACCTCTTTTGGAAATTGGGTAATTACCGATAAAATAATAATAATAAACTCAATATAGTGAATATAAAAAAATAAAGTTACGACTTTTTACTTTGACGCTGAGATCAACTTGAAAACGATTGACTTCCAGAATCATTTCTTGGACTTTTTAACCCATCAAGAACATACATATTTTTGTTATTGACGCTGTCATTCTTTTAACAATTAAAGTTTTACTTAAAAGCCACCCAGTCACAATAACATGCCTTTTCATGCCTTGTTTGCTGTGACATTTGGACCTTCTCTCGTGTGTCATGTGTGTCTGACTTTATGAGCAGGACCTCTCAGCGGATGAACAATAGGACCCCGGCACTTGCTGAGGAATTGGGGAATTGAACATGTGTCTCTTTAGGACTCAATAAAAGATGAAAGGCATAAGGAAGGATGAGCAATTTAACATCAGTGTGAAAATCAGTGCAGATGCCAAAACAAGCAGGATTTCTGGGAATAGTTTTGGTTTTAGTCATCCTTATTGTTTCTTTGACCTCACTGATTCTTCTAAATCTTTATATAGATCTTAAGAAATGGGTTCTTTAAGCTAAGATTTAAAGATTCATGAATAATAAGCAATAAGCCACTTTGGAAGTAAAAATGAAATACGGAGGTTTGAATCCGTTGAGTAAGAAATGGATTCTTCTTTGCAGAGGAAAGTCTGACCTATGCAGAGGAAGTTGCAAAGTCTAACCTGACATGTAATAAAGGTGCATCAGTCTGATGCAAAGTCAAATATGTGATCCACATGATGAGGTTCTCATGTTACAAAATGTCAAGAGCTGAAACATTTATCCCTCTCAGACATTTTTTAATTAAGACAAAACTTATAGGCTCTTTGGTGTCAAAAAATGCAATTCACCTTTATTTTTTATAGATGTTGGAGAGATGAGAAATGTTAATTAGGCTAAAGCATCAAAGAAATTATTTTATATCTTTTTCTAATGTTTTATACAATATCTTATATTATCAGAATTTAGTTCATGCTTTTATTATGGCCTTACAATATCAGATCACAATATGCTTTATGGTTTTTGCAATTACATCATTCCTAACAACTTTCTGGAATTGACTTCTGTTGTAATGTGATTGTACCTAAGTATCAAAATATATTGAAAAAAAACCTCAGATGACCTATTTAAAATTACTTTTGTTGATTTTCTTTCTGCTTTTTGCCTTTTTAATCAAAATGCAAACTGTTTGTTTTGTGATGACCCTGGTGAAGACCATGAGTCAAAAAGTGTTGGTGTGTCAGTAAATTATTATTCTACAACCTCTCTCTGTATTGGACACAATATGTGAATAAATCTGACCGAGTGATTTCACCTGACAGTGTTTGGAAATGTTATTTTTTCACAACAGTTGATTTCTCAATATGAGTTTTTCTGAATTCCTCATCCTATAAATTGTTTGTCCCTTTCTATGTACCTTAGACGTTGGTTAAGTTGTGTCAAAAACGTCAAGATTTATAACTCACTATATCTTAAATAATCGCCATCTGAGTCCCTTTATAAACTAAACTCTGGTTTTCTACTGCATTTAAACTGTCTGTTATGTTTACAGCCATAGCCTCAATGCGCCTTCAGATTTTGAAAAACAAAAATCCGAGCAGCGCTGAAGATAGACAAACACAAATGAAAACATCTGAGCTGACCTTTCTTGTTTCTCGAACTGTTTTTCTTTCTTTTCTATGTGTCATTTCACCAGAGGTTTTGATCGTTTGCAATCTATGTGCTTATTTCTACGACTGTACTCTCAAGATTATACAGTAATTTTCTACACCACCCCTTTGGTTTCAATCATCTAAACATGACATTACCTAGAAAATACAAGTACACCACCTGACTGTTTTTATTATTGATCAGAACTTCCCAGGATGCTCCTTTTCAGCAACATTCATATTGTTCTTTTTTTTGGTGGCATCAAAGGTGAAAGGTATTAGATGTGCTTCTATTGTGTCAATATTGTTCATTAGATATATGCAGCCTGAACCACATAGCAACAGTTCAGACAGACTTTAAGTAACACATGACATGAAATGTTGCACGAAGAGCTCTAACAAAAACAATTTATTTCTTATTATTAGGTTTGCACAGAATTGGTGTAAATTTTACATAATGGGAAGAAAGT